CATCATCATCATCATCATCATCATCATCAATGTTATTTGTAGTTGTAGTTGTAGTTGTGTCTGTTTTTAGTCGTTGTGTTTGTATAACTCTCGGTTTCATTGCCGTAAAGTTGATTTTCTCTGTGCTGCCTGGATGTAGGTCACATGTTGTCCCTGCGCTTGTGTGTGTGTCCACACACACGCACACACACGGCAGTACACGCTATAGTGTCACTTTAGTGTGGGGGAGGGGGAGGGGGTCTGAATGGGCGACGTGCCTCGGGGTCTTGGCGCCTGTGAATAAAACTCTCCGTTGCCGTGGAGATGAAGAAAGGAGGGGGGGGGGGGATGGGGCGACGTGGTCCCTCGTGGTTGGGTGGAGGCCGAAACGAGAGCGCTTTATTGAGGCCGACGGGGAGATGGCGGCATGTTTACAGACACTGCTGTGGCGCCGCGGGCGGGCGTTACAGGAGCCGCTGCTGACACGCCTCCTATCTCACCTCATCCGTTGTCTTCATGCAGACGGCAGAAGACAAAACCCTCTCACCATCTTTTTGTCAAACCTGAGGGACACGTGGTATTGGAATCGTGTCACCAAGACGCTGGTCACCGTAGTAACGCAGCATCGGTTCAGCAGCAACAGGCGGCTCAAGGGGAACTTCATTGCACGTCCTTTTAAAAGGGCCCACAAAGGTTCTGCTTCTTTTAAACAAATGCTCAAGTGTCTAAACAAGCAGTTGCGTTGGTATTTGTCCCACACGCTGCTGTAATCAATCCTCATCTGAGACACATCATTCTTACTGAGTCACTGTGACTTGACAAAAAAACACAACAGAGGGCGGGCAGAGTCCATGAGGAAGAGGAACGAGCTCCGTGTGTGTGTGTGTGTGTGTGTGTGTGTGTCAATCATTACATTACATGTCATTTAGCTGACTTACAATAAGTGCATTTCAACCATAAGGATACCAAACCAATCAGCAGCATTTGGATCACGTGATGCACTCAGGGCTCCTCCCTTCCTGTCTCATTAGTCAACTGAAGTGATGACGATGATGTTTTCCGTTTGTGTCTCAGTTTAAAATCACCTTCAAATACAACTTCGTAGTTTGAACGACCATTGCCTATAGTGAAATAAATGCTTCTGCTCCATCGATAAGTAATTACAGTGACCGTTTATCTCATTTCTCTAAGATATGTTTCATTGTCATCCCTGCACATTGGGATCGATCATCCGGCTTAAAGGTTCCACCTGTGGAGGAAAGAGAATCTACTTTATCTCTGGTCTCATTTCTGTAAACAAACGATAAGTCAGGTTTTCACCAACGAGAGCTGCAGACGACAGACACACAAATGTCTGTATCCGCTGACCGGATTATTGATCGCTCGTAAATGTCAGCAGAATCCTCAGGGAACGTATCCAGGGAACGAATGCAAATAAAGATTTATTTAATTAACCTTGAGAGCTGGAAAACATTTGCGCCTCCCACCGCGGAGATCCCTGTTGCCATGGAGATGTCATCTGGTGACTGACATCCACCTGCTGCAGCTCGGCCCCGGGCATAAACTAACATGTCAAAGATGAGAGATGTGGTTTCTTCCTCCTGCTCGTTCGTTATCGTCACACACGAGGACGCCTCCTCCTGTGGTATCGCTCATTTTAAAAGGCGCGATGAGTCATCTCACGGCTCGCTGGCTCGATTCAGGGCCCGAGCAGGGAGTTTGTGAGATGTCTGTCGTGAAAATGAATGAAAACCAAATGTGCTTCCGCTTCCATCTACTGCTCACTCAGTTTATTTATTTATGGCGTTAAATCATTCTGAGCTTTGAGTAGTTCCACTTCGACCTTTAACTAATTTCCCGTACGCGTTCGCCTCTCTGCCTCTGATTGGTCCTCTCTGGCCGACGCCCATCCGTCCGCAGTGAATCCAGAGAAGTGCAGTGGGCGCTGATATTGCGTGACCTCGACCCGGGGATGTCGCACCAAGGGCAGTGATCAGCTGAGGCCTCTCCAGGACGCCGTGTCGTATAGCAGCTGCACGTTCTGCAGCAGCGAGTCCATTTCCTATTACTAAATATGAGCACCCTCGCTTTTAGAAGTTTAGGGAAATCTGTCAAATGCCTCATGAAGAGATAACTAAAGAAAAATGGAAAACACATTCAGGATGATAATAAAGACTAAAGAGCCTAAAACCTCTTAAAAGATCTGGTCGTCATGACGCCAGTGGCTCCTGTAATACTGTAGTTGATGTCATCACGTAGAGATTATGGATTATGGAGGTGGACAGCTTCATTATTGAATTTATATGTGAGATATATTTAAGAAATAGTAATAAATTAATAAAAAATCAAATGTGTATTTTGTCTCTGTTCCCCTAGTCTAAAGGAAGACATTTAAACAGGTAGAAAGACGTTCAGAGCCGCTGTGTCGTAATGATTCTAGTGTAAATATCATGTATGTGATATTATTGTTTATGCATCACTGACCTCAAGAGCTCAGCTTTCATGTAAGAACGTCTCTCTCTCTCTTTCCTCCACCTTTACCTTCATCCATCTTATGTCTGCTGCCCTCCCTCATCCCCCCCTGCAGGAGAACCAGGTGACGGGTTACCTCCTCTTCTCTCTGGGCACCGCCGTCATCGGCTCCCTGCAGTTTGGTTACAACACCGGAGTCATCAACGCTCCGGAGCAGGTTGGTGACTCGATAGTATTTCACATCGGGGCGCGTAGTCTGATGCCTGAAAAACCCAAACCCGAGAGATTAAAGTGGAACGGTGCAGCTCTACACAGAATGATGACAAGAGCTTCCTACCGACAACTATGCTGCTTCAATGATACTGCTTCTCCATCAATGAGACTGCTTCTCCATCAATGATACTGCTTCTACTTCAATGATACTGCTTCTCCATCAATGATACTGCTTCTCCATCAATGAGACTGCTTCTCCATCAATGATACTGCTTCTCCACCAATGATACTGCTTCTACTTCAATGATACTGCTTCTACTTCAATGATACTGCTTCTCCATCAATGAGACTGCTTCTCCATCAATGATACTGCTTCTACTTCAATAATACTGCTTCTACTTCAATGATACTGCTTCTCCATCAATGATACTGCTTCTCCACCAATGATACTGCTTCTCCATCAATGATACTGCTTCTCCAATCAGTGATACTGCTTCTACTTCAATGATACTGCTTCTCCATCAATGAGACTGCTTCTCCACCAATGATACTGCTTCTCCATCAATGATACTGCTTCTACTTCAATGATACTGCTTCTACTTCAATGATACTGCTTCTCCATCAATGATACTGCTTCTCCATCAATGATACTGCTTCTCCATCAATGATACTGCTTCTCCATCAATGAGACTGCTTCTCCATCAATGAGACTGCTTCTCCATCAATGAGACTGCTTCTCCATCAATGATACTGCTTCTACTTCAATAATACTGCTTCTACTTCAATGATACTGCTTCTCCACCAATGATACTGCTTCTACTTCAATGATACTGCTTCTCCATCAATGATACTGCTTCTACTTCAATGATACTGCTTCTACTTCAATGATACTGCTTCTCCGCGAATGATACTGCTTCTACGTCAATGATACTGCTTCTCCATCAATGATACTGCTTCTCCACGAATGATACTGCTGCTACTCCAATGATACTACATATACTTCAAGAATACTCCTTCTACTCCGATAATACGTCTTCTACTCCAATGATACTGCTTCTACTCCAAAAATACTCCTTCTACTCAAATAATACTTCTACTACTCCAATGATACTGCTTCTACTTCAGCAAAAACCAAGTGAAGACATTTGCTCCTCAGGTATCAGCTGAATAAAAGAAGACCCTGGATACACTCTCAGTCCTTATGCTAAGCTAACCTAATCAACCTGTGCCGACCTCAGTGCGCTTCCCTCTTAAAATCGTCTCTCCTTCCACCACCAGAAACTCCGATCTTTCTTCAACGACACCTGGGTGGAGCGCTATGGCGTCCCCATCACCCCGGGGGTCTGCACCATCGTCTGGAGCATCTCCGTCGCCATCTTCAGCGTGGGCGGCATGGTGGGCTCCTTCAGCGTGGGCGTCATGGCGAACCGCTTTGGCCGGTAGGAAGGTTGTTTTGCACTCCAGTGATCGGGGGTTTCTTCTCACTGGGACGCGTCACGTGTCGTCACGTGTTCTGTGCTTTTTGGAGTTTTGTGTGTTTTGTGTTTCACTAATCGGCTCCAATGTTGCTTTTTATCCATTTCACTCTGAGTTTGACCTGGAGCACTACAACACAACCAGTTTATTCTTTCTGCTGTGAAACTGTTTTGACAACTTCCACCAAAGTGAATAAAAAAATGATATGAACAACAAGAAGCTTCTGCTTTAGCGTTAGAGAAAATAAACTATAAAGTAGATTCACTAAAAACAGGGCCCCGGCTCTCTCCTACGTCTGTGTCAAATCAAACGTATAAGATTCAGGGTTTCTAGAATAGCCATTTATCCCTAAACTAAGCTAATAACCTCTCATTCTTGCTCCATATCTGGTGTTTTCGTTGCTTGGAAAGGAGACATTCGTCAGATACGATCATCCTTTATTTATATCTGCTTAGCCAGCCAGCCGCCATGTCTCTTTATTCCTTTAAATACATGCACACACACGTTATAATAACAAATAAGAGACAGACAGCCTGACCCTTTATCTTTACACACACACTATAAAACTGGAATATATCTGTCAATGATCTAATTAGACAGGAAAGCAGCTGACATTCACGTCCACTCAGGTCAATTAGCCCTAATGTCGTCCCAGGAACTCAGAAAAAGAATACAAGAAACCAATAGATTCATTTTGTGTCTCCCCCAAACCCCCCTCACCCTCCTCAGGCGTCGCTCCATGTTCCTGGTGAACTGCCTGGCGGTGATCGGCGGCCTCCTCATGGGCTTCTCCACCATCTGCTCCTCGTATGAGATGGTGATTGCTGGGCGCCTGGTCATCGGCCTGTTCTGCGGCCTCTTCACCGGCCTGACCCCCATGTACGTGGGCGAGGTGTCGCCCACGCCCCTCCGGGGGGCCTTCGGCACCCTCCACCAGCTCGGTGTGGTGGTGGGCATCCTGATTGCTCAGGTGGGCAGGGACCTCCATACCATGTCTCAGCGTGTGGTCCGGTTAGCTTCGGATGGGTTGTTCAGCTCTGTTGTGGTGTTTAGATCTTTGGTCTGGAGGCTCTGCTGGGCTCAGCCAAGCTGTGGCCCCTGCTGCTGGCCCTCACCGTGGCCCCCGCTGTGCTGCAGTGCATCCTGCTGCCCTTCTGTCCGGAGAGCCCCCGCTTCCTGCTCATCAACCTGAAACAGGAGGAGCAGGCCCGCAAAGGTACCGCGACAACACCACCGCTTCTGTGTACAATTTATATTTATTATCAACACTTCTACTGACGATACTGCTGCTTATATTTCAAATACTTCTTATTCTACTGACGATACTGCTGCTTCTATTTCAAATACTTCTTATTCTACTGACGATACTGCTGCTTCTATTTCAAATACTTCTTATTCTACTGACGATACTGCTGCTTATATTTCAAATACTTCTTATTCTACTGACGAGACTGCTGCTTCTATTTCAAATACTTCTTATACTACTTATTCTACCGATTGTATGACGTATTGCATTGGTGAGCGGTGGTCATGTTGCAGCTTCAGAGAGTCCTTGAACAGGCAGAAGGTTTTGGTGTCTGCCAACATGTGTCCGGGTGGCGTTTGTGGCGCGTTTGATCCGCCCCTCGTTGACAGAAAAGAACCCGTGAAGGAGAAAAGCCACTTAGTGTGGGTGTCGTGTGTTCAGTGCTGGTGCGCCTGCGCGGCAGCGAGGACGTCAGTAAAGACATGCAAGAGATGAAGGAGGAGAGCGCCAAGATGGCCATGGAGAAGAAGGTGACCATCCCCGAGCTCTTCCGCTCGCCGCTGTACCGCCAGCCGCTCCTCATCGCCGTGATGCTGCAGCTCTCACAGCAGCTGTCAGGGATCAACGCTGTGAGTCAGGACGACACACACTCACACACACACACGCTCTGTCAGCATCTGCTGGTTCCTCTGGTTCATTCAAACACGCATAATAAATCATCACATAGTACGTATCACAGATCAAGCTTTAATCTCACCGAATGTGAAATGAATGTGAAAGCTGGAGGCGGTGAATAGTGTAACCCACGTTTATTTGATTTCAGCTATAAGACCTTTTGTCCCTCAGGTGTTCTACTACTCCACGGGCATCTTCGAGTCGGCCGGAGTGAAGCAGCCCATCTACGCCACCATCGGAGCCGGCATCGTCAACACCGTCTTCACCGTGGTTTCCGTGAGTGACGCCGGCGGCGTGGTCTTTCTCCCCGCTGTGATCGTCTTTCGTCGCCTTCATCGCCGTCTCTGTCCTCTGTCCTCCAGCTTTTCCTGGTGGAGAAGGCGGGTCGAAGGACTCTGCACCTGGTGGGATTGGGCGGGATGGCGATCAGCGCGGTGCTCATGACCGTCGCCCTGCTGCTGGTGAGTCCTGGAAGAGACTCATGTGACGTCGTCTCAGCTCCTCGAGCGTCCATCATTCTTTGATGAGGACCTCGCATAATATCAGCCCCAATGAGCTTGTTTGATCGGGACGTAGGTTTGTAATTCATGGAGTATATGTTTTCTCAATGTCTGATGTCTTCCCCCCCCCCCCCCCCGCTGAGCAGAAGGACATTCCCGTTATGAGCTACATGGCCATCGTCGCCGTCATGCTGTTCGTGGCCATGTTTGAGATGGGCCCCGGTCCCATCCCGTGGTTCATTGTGGCCGAGCTCTTCTCCCAGGGGCCCCGGCCCGCCGCCATGGCTGTGGCCGGCTGCTGCAACTGGACGGCCAACTTCCTGGTTGGGATGAGCTTCCCCAAATTAGTGGTACGTGCTGGTTCGGCTCGTTTTCTTTGTTATGAAGGTTTTGGTTGTTTTGTCCTTCATTACATCCTCAGAGTGTCTTTTATACTAAACATTAAGAACATCGACAGATAGATGATAGATGGGTGGGTAGCTAGAACTCTGAGCGTGTTACATCTGATATACCCCCCCCCTCCTCCCCTCCAGGAGTGGTGCGGGCCTTGGGTATTCCTCATCTTCGCGACCTCCCTCATCTTGTTCTTCATCTTCACCTACCTCAAAGTCCCAGAGACGAGGGGCAAGACCTTCGACGAGATCGCCCGCAGCTTCGGCGGCGACCCGCTTCCCACCTCCTCGTCCGTCGAGGACCCGCCCGCCAGCGCCAGCGCCGCCACCACGCTGCCGGCCTCCCCGGTGAAGGAGAAGGTCCCGCTGGTGGAGGCGGCGCCGGCTCCCACCTCTGAAAGCACGCCGCTTCAGGATAAGCCTGGATCGACGGCGCGGGAGAGCGTGGAGCAGCTGTAGGACGAGTTTTAGCGGGTGGAGGCGGGGTTCTAAAAGAAGGAAGGATCACAGATTTTAATATAAACTGTATCATTTTATAATAGAACTACGGAGAACGACAGCATTCTCAACGTGCAGGCTTTGACCTCCAAAAGGTCACGCTTTCTGCTTTGGCGGCGACTCGTCAGAGTTCTCGTGGTTCTTCCTTCTTTTGGATCCTCCCTCACGTCACCGTGCACCACTACACATTTAACCTACTGTACATTCATTCAATTGTTCTCCAGGCAGCCGCGTCTAGTCAGGGCGACACTTTAGTACCCAAAAAACGTCGTGGGACGACCGGTACCAGCGGGGGGGGTGGGGGTTGGGTAGATGTAGAGGAGAGCGTCCTCTGCGGTTGCGTAGGTCACGTGACACAGCACACGCGTCCTCTGCCTGGCCGTTTGTGGAGTCCAGGCGGACGTCTCCGTGTTTCTAGTGCAATGTACCTTGGTTTCCTTTGGTGATGTTGGATTATCCGTTTAGCCGTTTTTTTGGAAGCGTAAGAGGGGTTGTTACAGATGTTTGCCCCGCCTACAGATGTTGACTATGAGCTTTTTGGCGGAAGGGCAGAACTTTGTCGACCTAAACGCTCTCGTCCGCTTTTGGGTTCATGGGGGTTTAAAGTTGTAAACCTCAAGTTGATTTGACTGTAATCGGTTACTCCGCCCCTCATTTCCTTGTGTTAAGTTGCATTACACCAGTCAAAAGTTTCTCATTGAATTGAATGAGAAAATGTTTTGACTGATTTATTTCTTTTTCTTTAATTGATGTTTAACAGAGAATTTTTATATTTATTCTTTAAGTCTTGAACTCGTCATTGGTTTCTTCTGTGGTTTATGAATCGGTGAATATATATTAGTGACAGAAGATGTTGAATCTTGTGGATTATTGCTTCACTGTATTGGAGGAATAACGCAGGCCGGGACAAGAATGTGTCGTCTTTTTGTGGTTTTATCCGTGTAGATTACAGTAGGGTGACGTGCAATATTTTATTTTGTCAACTAATAGATGAGTATTTATGTATTCTTTAGAAATTGACTTTTGTGTAAATGATATAATGATATAACTTACTAAAGCTAATTAAGAAACCCGTGTGAAGCTTCTGCTGCTGAGGATCTTCTTAAGATGCACTTTGTTAACCAGACGAGCAGCTAAATGAGCATTAGAGCCACAACCAGCGATGTAGCAGCCAAAGTATATCTACCTGAGATCCAGCGTATATCTGCTGCTATTAGAATAGGAGTCGTATAAAATGTGCTGCAGCCTAAACACTGTAGGAGCCGATAGCGAGAAGGGGAAACTACACGGGCGGAGCTAATAGTGTAATAAACAAGTTAAACGATTCCTGACGTTAGATTAGAATAAATAATCCAGAAGATCTACACAGCGAGAAACGGCAACTTTGAGCAAACTTGATGGCATTAGATAATGAGACCTTGAATAACTGGCATGAGATGTCTGAAGCACCTTGGAACAGATTAAATCAGAGTTGATCTTTGGTGGGAAGGACGGTTCTGCCTTCTCGTCAAAATGATGAAATCCATTTTTCTTGAAAAGGAAAAAATCCTTTGGTGTGAGATTGTTGTCTCGTTCTGTGTGTTTCAGAATGCTGACGATACACTGAAAGCAGCTTTTTACGACATTGTGACAACATATAATAATTATACGTGCCAACGTGGAAATATTTCCAGCATTTTCCGATTCAATGGGATCATTTGAGGTATTGAATCTATTTAGAAAGTTTCTCATTGAGGCATGTTGTTTCTATTTCCATGCATCAGCAGCACTGTGCGCCGTGTTTGTGAGTGTGTAACACAAAGTAGGTGTTCTCTATCGTGACACCAGTGATTCATGCTGCACTTTGACAACATGTTTATTTATTCATGTTTTGGGAAGATATTTAAGGTGTTTACTCTCTCTTCCCCTTTTTTAAACTCTGACAGTTTGAGACGGCGTGTCCGACACCGGGAAGCCGTCGCACCAACAACTAAATGATTTCTCCAAACAAAACAAACACTGCCCATTAACGAGTGAGTTCGATGACGTCGCAGCCAACAAATAATCACAAAACAAGTGGCCGACTCAAAGATTCACACATGTACGACACCTGGACCCGGATCCAGACCATAGACATCTACTGTATGCATACAGAGATAGGAGAGAATTCACTTGTAAATATATATTTTAAGAGAAAAGTATTTATCCGTTGACCTGTTGAGTCATACGTGTGTGTGTGTGTGTGTGTGTGTGTGTGTTTGTTATTTTTCCTTTGGGGCACATGTGTTTATTGTGTAGAAGGTGGGGGGATTCGGGGAACATCTCTGCTCATTTTGCTGTTTTTCCTTCACTCACAATTTATCCGTGTGCCTGATCAGAAGATGGGTTCATTTCTGTCTTGTTTTTATGGGCCTTGTTGTCGTCCTTTTATCAGTGTTTAGAGCCAAAGAGTGAACCTCATAGCCGGTGAATGTTACAGGCTCACAACTCGACTGATTAACCTTCACCTCTGAGATGTGTCTCTGCCTTTTCCCTTCAAACCAAGTCTGATTCAATCTGCAATACACGTGCACACTTCTGCATCTGGACCCGTCTACTGTCAGCACGCCGTGATTGTTGTATTGTTGTTGTTGTTGTTTGTTGGGTCCTGACCAGTGTGTTCCAGGTTGTGTACATAAGTATTTGGCTGTTCGTACCTCTCTGCAGCTCACGCTTTCACAGACGGACCCGTCATGTGATCTTTGACACAAACCGGCGTGTTCTGAGATGAGGGGGATCCACCGGGTTTATTCAAGCTCTCTGAAACTGTTTCACCTGTTTGTGTTGTGTATATATATACCGGATCTACGGTTGTTCAATAAAATATTCATCATCCCACATGGTGTGAATGTGTACATCAAAGTCTTTCTTTTCTCATTCTAGGATTTTATTTTATTCATTATGGGATACTAAAGATGGTGAACTAAAACTCTTCATGTTTTCTTTTTTTTTCTTTATAGTCTGATATAATGTTGAAATGTGAAATACCGACATATGCACGTGAACCCTCACATAATACGAATAATTTAACAGTAAAACACACAGACTAAACAATAGCAGACTACACAGACATTTTAATAGTAAGTACAGGCACCTGTTAACAAAATATGCCAAAACCATATAATTTATGAGAAAATTAAAATTTGACTGCAAATGTTATTTAAAAAATACACGTTGCGGGAATCATTAATTTATTAAAGACTAAATAATGGATAATTTTTTATGAGTGAGCTTGTATTGTTGATACCAATCAGTGAAGATGGAGTCCTGTTAACTCATTAACTACATTGATTAAAATACATAAAGTCAAATTTGCATATTAGGAAGACAAGGCTTCCGAAGTCTGAGAAGGACTCGTTTCCGGTCCGGACCCCGAATGGACTATATATATATATATATATATATATATATATATATATATATATATATATATATATATATATATAAGTACATAAACATATACATAGATATAAGGACATATCTATGTATAAATGGACCCCCGCTGCTCGCTTCTGCTACGTCATCACATCGCGCCGGAAAAGGCAGCGCACCGACCAAAAAAAGAAGAAGAGGAGAAAAAAAAAAAGAGGAAAGGAGGCGTTACCCTCCAGCGCCATCAGCTGCAGATTTATGCAAAACAGAGGAAGCGCTGCGGAAGAAAAGGAGCGTCGCGCACGGAGCTCCGGACACCGACCAGCCGCCTGCGGACGGTCAGCAACGGGCCGGCGGAGAGACCCGGGACCGGTAAGCACGTACCCGAGACCCCGCCCCCCCGATAACGGGACCAGACAGCGGCGGCAGGCTTACGGGATGCTAACGGGGGGGGGGGGGTAACACGGCCAGCTAACACACCGCGTCCGGCTCCCAGCTGATGCGCGCAGCCGCTGCTGATGAAGTGAAGCCGTGCGCGCGCGTGTGCGTGTGTGTGTGCGTGCGTGTGTGCGTGTGTGTGTGTGCGTGTGCGCGTGTGAAGCGTAGCGGTAATAAAGATGCTGCAGGGAGTCAGATGTTACACCAGAGAGGCCCATAATAAATCCAGATGTTAAAGGAACACACCATGAACGTTACAAGATGAATTAGAATAAACGTTGTTTTGTGTTTACAAATGAAGAACAGAGCCAATATAACATATATATATATATATATATATATATGTTATATTGGCTCTGTTGTGATTTTGGATGTAAAACTAATACTTCTCAAGGGCACTTTGCACTTTGACCCCTCAAAAAGATGATGCTTTACAGCATATATATATAAATAAATGTGTGTGTGTATAGGTTAGTCCTCATGGCAAAATAGACAAATATATTAAAGGGGAAAGCGAGTATGAGATAGATACACATATTCATTATTTTAATCTATTTGTGTAAGAAACATGCCTTTTAATTCACAGATAAAACTGAAAAAACAACTCGACTTGCTGTGTGAATTTACGACCCCGTGTTTCACAAATGAATGTGCACAATTATTTACATAACAAATTTCATCTACAAAAATGTTTAAAAAACAGCCTGCAAATATAGTTCATATTTACTAAGGTCTCCTGTGCAACAGAACGGCAGGTCGTGACACCCTGAATGTGTTGTGATGCACGGAGCCATTTACACGTCAACAGATGGTCGCGGTGAACAGAGGCGAGAACATCTGGAGTCGTCGGCGTCGCCCTGAAAGCATCTTTGTCGCTGAGAGCAGGTCGACCTCAGTCACTAAATACGAGTCAGCCTCTCAGCCTCCCTCCTCTGGGAGAAGAGTGACGGCCGCTCATCAGAGGAGGAGTGTGTGAGTGTGTGTTTGTCTGATGGACGGCTCCTCTGTCTCCTCAGCAGCCATGGAGACGGATGGAGAGCAGAACCAGCAGGGGGCCTCGACCAATGGTAGCGCGGCATCCGGAACGAGCTCCCGCCCCTCTCCAATGAATTCCATGTCTCTGTACGAAAGACAGGCGGTGCAGGTAGGTGTGTGTGTGTGTGTGTGTGTGTGTGTGTGTGTGTGTGTGTGCGTGTGCGTGTGCGTGTGAGTGCGTGTGTGTGTGTGTGTCAGGTCATCATTCATTTGAGTATTGGTTTGGTCCCTTGAGTACACATATTAGCATGAGAGTTTTTTGAATATTAGAATTAGAGTTTTCTTAGAATAAATCTATCAAATCCCCCGACGGATTATTCGTTTTTCTCCCCTCGTGGAAACAATAACAATCCTCATTGAGACAATAAACTTTATTTAAATGGGGCTTTTCATAACAAGCTAAGCTAAGTTAAGGTGAGGAGGACTCGCCTGTGTAATGTCTCAGGATGGAGGTTGAAGTGACTGAGTCGCCCAGCCGGTTTCTACCGAGGCTCTGTGTAATTTTCTCATGCTTCTGCACGACCATCTGTCTCTGTCACCCGCGCTCGCTCTAATCCAGCCCGCCGCGCTTTCATCGCTCCACTTATTGAGCACGAGCCTCTGCTCGTACATCACGCAGCTGGCAGGAGGCGTAATGCTCTGCTGCAGCCTCCCTCCCGCTTACCCCAAAGCACAGTACTTCTTCTGCTTCTCTCCTCCCCTCCGCATCTTCCTCCTCGTTGTGTGCCTTCATCTTCTCCTTCATCACACTCTGTGTACTTCTTCTCCTCTGCTTTATCCGCCCGCGATGGCTCACCTGTGTCCTCTCCACCTCCGGCCAGGCGCTGCAGGCGTTACAGCGGCAGCCCAATGCGGCGCAGTACTTCCAGCAGCTGATGCTGCAGCAGCAGATCAGCAACGCGCAGTTCCAGAACCTGGCAGCCGTGCAGCAGGTAAAAGCACACAGGTGTGCGTGCACGTGTGCGCAATGTCAAGGGAGGAGATTTGCAGGTGATTTTTAGAGTCAGGATGTCAAATGAAAGAGGACAAAACCCAAAGCTCTTGTCCCGCTTCCTCTCAGGCCACCATGGCTGCCAGTCGGCAGTCGAGTGCCTCCGGCGGCGGCTCCTCTCAGACCACCGGCGCCGCGTCCGTACGTAGCCGCGCACCATCATGGCCGCTCACTAGCTGAGGGAAACTGTAGGCGGGGGGGTGGTGGAGGGGGGGGGGGCAGAGCTAAAAGGTAGAACGTAGTGACCGTTTTATGTGAGAACTTTCACCATTTGTAAGAATGTGGAAGAAAAATGATTCCTTTTTGATTTGGCAAAACTAGCTGAAAATGTTTAATGACGTTTAATATGAATCATTTTATTTGATGCATGTCTGTTCGACTAGATATATTTCTTGTAATCTGTATATTTGTTCCCACATTTTTGTAAATTGGTATCAGAAATCACAGTAGTTCTGTGTTGTGTTGTAAATGTCGAGTAGAAGTTTTAAATAATAATTCTGCACATTGAAGAAGCCACTCTTTTAATTTGTCAGGCCAGTGTAACATCTGGATCTACGACCAACAGCCGTCCTCTGGGCAACCCGTCCACAATCAGCCAATCGGTGGTGCTGAGTGGGACGGCGGGGGCGCAGGGACAAATGTACCTGAGGGTGAGTCACGGAGCGCCTTCAGTCATCGTATGTCGCTGTTCATCACTTTATAGAAGCTATGTGTCCTCTGGAGACCAGTTCTACTGAACAGAGCTTGATGCATCCTCCGTTAACGTTAGCCGTTAGCTTAGCAGGGCCGTGCTAACCGCTAACATCAACTAGCTCCCGATACTGGTGCCTAGAAGCTCACCAGCGGCCGGGTGTGTCTGACGTCGTCCCGCAGGTCAACCGCTCTCTAAGGACCCCCATCTCCTCGCAGCTCATCTTCATGCCCGGCAGCGCAACCGTTGGCCAGCAGCCGCAGGCTAAACAGGAAGTGACGCCAACTTCCTCCGCCAGCGGTCAGTCGGACAACGACCAGGTCCGTGGAATTAGTGGCTTGCTGATGTTGAGGAGAACTTTGTTCTGTTTGTGGTTCCACTGATTGTTTTCCCCTTTTTAAAAATATATTCCCTCTTTGTCTCCAGGTGCAGAATCTGGCCATGCGAGGCGTGTCCACGCTCAAAGGTGTCGGCGTGAAGACTGAAGCTCCAGAGAGGAGCGACTCGGGTAAGCAGCCGTTTCTCCTGATGTCGATGTGTTGGTCACGTGACGCAGTTTTGTCCTCCCTGTCTTGTAAGCAGCCTACTCCTTGGTCCACTCGAGCTCCCACACCGCCAACAAGCCAGGCCATCTACAGCAACCGCCCCCCCACATCAAAATCCCCACGTACCCTCAGCCCACCAACCTCAAAGCCCAGCCTTCCTCTTCCTCCACCGCCACCTCCTCCATCCCTCTCTCCCAGCTCCTGCTTCACGGTACCCGGACCCTCACCGCGGGAACCACGGCCCCCACGGCCCCCACGGCGGCGCGCGCTCTGCTCCTGACGTCCGGCACGGCCTCCCAGCCCACGGGTATCCCGTCGGCACGGCAACCATGAAACCGGCGTGAGCGCTCAGACGCTGGTGGTGCAGCCTCTGCAGAAGACGTCGCCCGGTGCCGAGAAATTGGGCAACGGACCCGTCCCATCCAACCCAAACTCTGCAGGGGCTCCGCCTGCCGCTCCAGCTGCCCTCTAGGAACCCGCCCCCCATCCTGCCCGCCCCGCCGCCAGTCAGCAGCTCCGCGCCGCCTCAGACGCCGCACATCCCGGTGCAGATCGTGGGCGCCAGGCAGAGCATGCTGGGAAACACCCAGGCGCTGGCTCTGGCCCGGGGCAGCTGCTGCCGGGACGGCTCGTCCAGCCTGCTCACCATGTTGGCCTCCGTCACTTCCAGGGAGGGCGCGGCCGTGTGCCGAGGGGCGGGGCTAAAGGCGCTTCAGTCGCCACAGGAGGCGCCCCCAGTGGCTCAGGTCTCTCAGGTGCCTCCGGAGGCCAATCAGAGCTCCGGGCCGGGTGACAATGGACCCTTGGCCTCAGGCCCCGCCTCCTCCCAGGCCCCCGGGGTTTCCGCCCCTCCCACCTCGACGCCTCGCTCCTCCCTCTCCCTCCCCCTAGTGACGGAGGAGCAGAGAGGAGCATCAGCAGCTTTGCCCGTCAACGGAGACTCATCCAGAAGTCAGACATCACAGGTCAGTGTCCCCTGTGGGTTGTTGTAGGGGGGTTAAAAGGAAACATTTTTGGAATAACGGTAGAAGTTTATTAAGTAATAAGTAAATGATCTTTTCCATTGTCAGTGTGACACAAATGAGACAGAAGAAGGCAGATTTTTTATGTTTTGAACAATTTGCACACAATATTTTTTATTTATTTTATAAAAAATAAAGCATATGTAAATATTATGTGTGTGTGTGTGTGTGTATATATAATATATATATATATATATACTATGCATATTTTCTTATATCTGTTCTTTTGTCTTTCCGTCTGCTTAAACGGTTGTTTTTCAGGGAAAGCAGTTGACAGGCTCACTAAAAAGAAAATCTGATCCTACATCAGCCAATGACGAAGAAGGCCCCTCCCCTCCACGGCTCCATCCAATCAGAGATCCTGCCTCAGCACGGCCGACCAATCCCAGTGAAGCAGGTAACCGCACAGACACCTGTAACTCTCCACGCTCATAAACAGGGATATATATATATATGTATATATATATATATATATACATATGTGCCCCACCCTCCTCCACCAGGCTCTGGTGCTCCTCCTCCAGTCTCCTCCTCTTCCTCCCCCGTGCTGCCGCCGTCCCGTGGGGTCTGCCAGGGGGAGAGAGCCCCCCCCCCTCAAGCTGTGGTGAAACCGAACGTCCTGACCCACCTCATAGAGGGCTTCGTCATCCAGGAGGGGGCCGAGCCTTTCCCCGTGAGTCTCCTGCAATAACCTGATTGTGCTCCTCATCGAGTCGTTGGCTGACCTTTGCCCCTCCCCCGCCGGCCTTCTCTTTCCTCCATGCTGTTTGATTGACAGGCGTGTGGCTCGGTGAAGGACTCGACCGGTGAGGATTTAAACGACGGCGCGGACGGATCGGACGCGGTCACAACAGCAACGGGTAACAGACCAGCTGCTCTATGACCACGGAGATGCCGCCAATATGTTTACGTCACGTGACTCAATAGTTGAACGGTAGAAACATTAAATGTTTTTCAAAGACTTTGGATTTTTTTAGAAAGAAGAAAACATCCTAAAAACACTTTGTTGTTGTTGTTGTTGTTACCAGTAGATAACGCCTCCTTTGCATATTTAGCATAATATTTCACACAATTAAAGCTCCTTTTAATGTAGTGTTGAACATAAGCACAAACTAGACAACAGAGATATCCAAAATTCCCTCCAAAGAATTTTGAACCTGTTTAGTTTTGGAGGCTCCGAGTCTCCTGCCGCTGCCGCTGAGCTGAAGGCAGCGCGGGAACATGGCGTCCTGTGTGTCTTGTGCTCGCTGTGTGATGCACATGTTGTGACCCTGAAATGTTGGAGGTGTTGTGTTGACCGCCTGCTCTTTTTCTCTGCCCCCCCCCCCCTCAGTGCTGAAGTGTGAGTACTGTAAAAACTTTGCTCCCGCCAGCCAGTTCAGAGGCACCAAGAGGTTCTGCTCCATGTCTTGTGCCAAGAGGTACTTCAACGTGCATCAAACGTAATACATGCAGCCGAAGCCATTTAGAAGGAAAGGTTAAAACACAGCAGATCGCTGTTGGCGTATCATTTAACATTTTTTGCTTTTACATTTGTCCCCCACACACACGCACACGCGAGTATCATGATCCTCCTCATCGTTGTGTGTTGCTCGTCTTGGCTTCAGTAGCGTACATGTCACTCTTTGTCCACGATACAGTATGTATTGGTTCCCCAGGTACAACGTCAGCTTCCGGCAGCACTTCTGCGTGCGGCTCGATCAGGGTCAATGTCAAGGTCAGCTCTCCAACTCGGACGAGGAGGCGGGGATCGCCAGGCGGAGGGTCCCGCGCAGGACCAGCTCCGAAATAGCCAGTGCCAAGATCGCAGGGAGACCCCTACCGGACAAGGTGACGTCCCTCCCGTTATTTTTTTTGTTATTAACTCGTTTGATAGCGACGTACTTTTGAGCCACTTTGGGCGAACAAAACAGCGCCGGGAATGTTTTTAAGTTGGAATCAATGGCTGTTCATTGTGAGCCTCCTGAATGGACCATACTTCTCTAACTCAACGTTACATTTAAAAGTGAACTCTTCCGTCAGATCACCCGTTCCTCTTGATCAATAATTACACTGTTTGTGGGAGCCCCCAGTCAGTTGTTAACTGCGGTGAGAGGTCAAGTGTCCATGAGGTGGATCTTCGGAACGAGGGACTGAAGAGTTAACTTTCCGTAGGAGTTTCGAGGTACCCTCCGTTCGGGAGCCTCACAGTTCACAAACATTTACTCAGAGGTGGCGGCATTCGCAGCGGGGCTCCGGTCGTGGACGGTGTGTTCATCTGAATGTAGCGGGCACAAGGGTTCTTCCCCCGACAGAGCACCCCACAGATAGTCACCTTGTCCACTACATGTTTTTCCGAAACCAGGGGGGACCGCCCGCCCCCCCCCCCCCCCCCCCGTGGTCAGCCACCGTTTTCTAACGCCTTGCTCGCGGGTTCCTCGCCTCTTCCCCCCGCACAGTGCCACTCGGAGTCCAGCCACTCAGACGAGGAGTCCAGCGGAGAGGAGGACGAGGACGACCCGGTGTCCCTGTCCTCTGCCTCCTCCGCCTCCTGCCGCCCGCCGCCTCCGCCGCTCCCGACGGAGAGCTCCGCGCCGGGCTGCCCGCCCTCCGGCCCCGCCCAGTGGGGCGTGGAGGAGGTGACGCAGTTCATTTCCTCGCTACAAGGTTAGAATATAAACTTTTTCTTCTATTCCAAACCCCCTCCCCTCCCCAACCGCTTTTTCTTTAATCTTCGTCCTCCTGTTCGCAGGCTGCGAGGAGCTCGCCTCCCAGTTCCTGTCGCAGGAGATTGACGGACAGGCCCTGCTGCTGCTGAAGGAGGAGCACCTAATGTCCACCATGAACATCAAGCTCGGCCCCGCCCTCAAGATCTGCGCCCACATCAACGCCCTGAGGGACTGATGCGTGTTCAAAGTCAAGCCCCCGATCACTTTGGATGTGGAACTGGTTCGGGACGAGTCGGAGGGCTGCTCCTGGAGGCGTGACATCCTCTTCCAGAGGAGGCCGAGGCTCGTGAGCTCTCAGCAGGTCGTTGATCCGTCCGCTCGGCTGCTCACTCTCAAGGTCGGACGCACAGATGTTGTTAACCTTTGAGTCTGTATTTGCAAATATTAAAAAAAGATTACAATATTTAGGTGAAGATAGATGTTCCCTAAAAGGCTGTTTCTACGCAGAGCAGTAAAAGTTCTTGGTGGTTTCATTTTGCTTTTTAGTTGCACAATCTCCCTCCTGCACCTGCTTGTGTGTTGTGAAATGAAGGTTCTGAATGTATTCTCCACGCAAGTCGCTTTCAGAAAGTTGGATTCTTGCACAGACAGTAAATCTATCTTACTGCATTTGTTGTTGCATTGAATTGATGTTTGGCCATCGGGTCAAAGTGTACTTGACAGCCCGCTTCTTTGTCGTCTTTCTTTTAAACCACGTATGTTCTTGTGTAGCCGAACACTTGAGGCTGTTTGGATTGGGATTATTACAGAACTGTAGCGAAAAAATATGTATAATTTAATTCAAATCTATTCAAAAGCTGTGTATCAGTTGTCATCAAAGATGACAGTTGGTTTACTTTGAAGGGAACATTTTAACTTTAATTGTATTTATGTGAGAACTAATACTTTCAAAAAGGTGTAATTGTTTTTTTAACTGGTGGCTTTTTTAATTTGTATGCGGTCTGTTCTTCAGTTTACAGGGTACGCTTTGAGTACAGGGTACTAGAGTCCAAATGAATCCCGAGTCCTTCGGCTCTGTTTTCAAGTGAGGCAAAAATACTGATGTTGCTTCTGCTTTTCTCACATCGGCACTCCAAGAAGCAGGAACGCTCTCCAAAAACTCTAACGAGACAGTCTTTTCATTTACTGTGGACTCTACACTCAAAGATGCATCCTGGGACTATTTTGTTCTGTCTGGCAATTTTTGAGACTTGTCCAACCGGCTCCATTCAAGGGTTTGTGTGTGAGTGACGGGTGACGTCGTGGGCTTGATTTTTGCGAAGGGACGTTTTCTCCTCAACAACATTAAAAAAAGAAACGCTGGAACAGTTGAACAAAGCCAGGAGGAGAAACCCACGGACCTACAGGTACGTTTCGGATGGACGTTCCTGAGTGAAGGAGGCGTCAATGAGGAGAAACTTAAGCTGTAATAAGTGTAGGATTTGCCTTTATATTTAAATGCACATTTGTTTGCTGGACGGCCTTGTTTCTGCTTTTTACCGTAGGAGTTTTCTCATGTTACCGCTCTGTGAACCTTGTGGCCTTTCTCACTAGTCTCTTTAATAGGTTTAGATGAGGATTGTTTCTTTTCTAACTGCTTTTCATATCATTCCTTGTTTTTATATTCGTACTTACTTTTCTACAATTGTTAATTCAAGCAATGACATCTGTTGCCTTTCCCCAAAAGGCGCCACTGAGTACCGGCCTCGATTAAGGACACTTGCCATCTTCCTCGTGGCTCCGTCCCGTAGCGTGTAACTACCAACAGTATTTCCCTGTCTAGATATCGACCTTTGGCTCTATTGTTCGTTCGTGACCGTGGCTCTCACAGTGTTTTCTTTCCAACAGGACGATGGTGTCTGGTAGCTGTGTTTTTTTTCTATTCCATAGTGCTCGCCATATGTTGAGGTGTTTGAATCCCTCGCCGTACTGTGAAGGCTAAAAATATTGGCACTTGTACACAAGTTGTGTGAGCCACAGTCTCTTAATCACCACCAACCAGCAAATGTTTGGATTATCGGTGAAACGTTTGCAGAACCGGGGTTCATTCAATCATCGTTCTCCCAAAAAGTAGCACTCGTTTTATAATTATTGAATTGAGGCTACTCAATTTTTCAGTTAACAGTCTTAAAAAACTGCTAAATCTTGGAGGGACTCGGTCTGACAAAGAGATGTTAACAGTTCTATCTTGCAAATAAAAAAAATCATCAGTCTTTTACAACCATGTGTTTTTATTTTTGACCGAACTGACCTTCAGTGAATGCATAGCTTTTGTATAGTGCTCTTTATAATAATTGTTCACGTGTATGGATTACTTCCGCTGTGTGCCATTATCTTCTATGGTCTGAAATGTGAGAATGGATCATTGTAGGTTTGTAGGAACGTGTTTTTGGCATTATGATGCTTTAAAGTTCACCATTTGCTGTACCTGACTGTCTCACTCACTACATCTGCGGCTGTTGGTCATTTGTTGCATCACGGCAGTTTTACAGTGAAGTATTGTCTCTTCACACAATATATTATGGTGCACCTCGTGTCCTCGCTTCTGGAACGTTTCTCTGCATAACACAATTTCCTTCCTTTACAGCTGCAAAAGTGCTGCTAACTTCTTTCATTATGAGTATTTCAGATGATGATGATAGTTATACTACGCAAAAGAAATATATTTACACCCGATATATATACATACTTTCCAAATATACAGTATAAACGTTTGACGTGGTTGATTTTTTTTCTCCCGAAGTTCTATTTCATTGCAATCCTTCATTATTCTATCCAGAGAAGTTCCGACTGATGACGGTCTCAGCCAATCAGAGCACAGCGTAGTTGTACGCTTCTCCAAACCCCGCCTCCCTGAGGTATTTCTCGATGTCCAGTGGTGCAGCCGCTCTGATGACTGTGCTCCCATTGGCTGAGCGCTCTGCCTGGTGAAGCTTCTTAATAAGCTCTGGCATCGAGACGCGTTGTTCGGGGCCCCAATGGCAGCAGGCCCTGATGATTGAGTACCTGAAGAACAAGGTAACGAGAACAACAAGAGTACATCTCAAAACCCAGAAAGAAAACGATTTATTCCACCGTAACACACCATTACGTTAGTTAGCAGGGTTTCGGCCGTTGGAACTTACGCTAGCTAACTAACTTAACGTAGCTAACGCTAGTAAGTTAACGTTAAATGCAACGTTAGTTTAGCGTTAAGTTACTGCCTCACGTAACTTCGCTTAAATGTGTCTGCAATTTAACGTTGTTTAGGATGTATGTTTAATGTTACACAAATTAAAGTTACATTTTAAGCACGTTAAAAATGTAATTATAGTTAATCTATAAGATTAAGTTTGCCTTGGCTGAAAACAAACCATCTAACGCTATGAAACAAATGTTCGTTGGCGCTAGCTAATTAGCTAACTGCTAGCTAGTTTGTGAGCTAGCTAATGCTAATTGATGCTAAGGATTTGACACCTGTGATCAGGACTTTTTTGGGGGCGGTGGGCATAATTACAGTTTAACAATATCAATATATTTATATGTATAAAAAAGCCTATGGGCCGGGGTACGATATTATACTCTTATCTCCTCCAAATAAGACACAATAATAGCTAAAAACTGCGGTTTAGAACACCCGGACGTTACTTGGTCCTCATTCAAAAAGCATTATTTTTAATGTGGGGCATTGAATTGTTTCTAGGGCACGTCATGATTTGTGGCTGATATAAAGACTGTGGTATTGTGAAAGCGGTCTTGTCTTACAGTGAGTTGGAGCATCTGACGGGCCGTTTGAGATGCTTTCCTCTTTGTAGATTCTGCAGAAGTTCATTTACAGAGATCTGGGCAAACGGTGGGTCACCTGCAGACAGTATCACATGATTGATTAAAGAACCTTTACAAACATATTAAGCTGCAAGAGCGCATTGTATGTGATTTTATTTTGGCTTACTGTTGTATGAAAGTTATTATTTTTCGATAATTATAATCAAAATTCTATCACTTTACCAAAAAGTTTCATACACCAAATGGCTTTTCTTGGAGGTATATTTAATATTGGAAAATACCTACCCAATGTGACCATTTCATAGAGCAGCATACCAAAGGACCATCTGTCAACGAGGGTGAGAGGAGCATTATGCATTATGTATACTGAGATTAAGATATACTGTTGGGTGCAAATTCACATATTAATGCATTTAGAGTAGAAATAATTAACATTTTCAAACATTTCAGATGCTCACCTTTCACTAGAAATGTGGAGATTATTTTATTTAATGTTATATAACATTGTTATACACGGTAGGGAGAAATATAACATTTACATCATTTAAATACAATGTCATGTAATGTCAGTTATTAAACAAATTGGAAAATAATAAACCTGCATTATCAAGCTTTTACTTTGATAACTGTGGCTGGGACATTTCAATGAATACTTCAGTCTTAGTAGCATTATTTCATATAGACTCACACGTCACTACTCTGACGGAAGTCTCTTCTGCTTAACACTTCCGGTGCCTGCCACTTCCTCATCTCCTTGTCTCCTATTTCCTCGGCGGGGCCGGCGCTTGTAGTCCTGCGGTAGGCGGAGCCTAATCCCCACAGCTTCGCTGTCAGATCTCCACCAACCAGCACGCTGCGAGCTCCCAGGTTGCCATGGATGCAGCGCTGACTGTGCAGGTACTCCTACAAGATGTTCACATATAAAGATGGAGTTAAGAGGGATGCTGCACATGTTGAGGACCTGGCTGTGCAATAGAAACATTTTATGGTTTTTAGAAACATTTAGAATGGATACTGATTCATACTTTAACTGTTGTCACATCTAATTCAACCCGGCATCATAACCTTAACCTGAAGTGTGAAGATAACATTCAGCCTGTTTTATTTATCAGGCATAAACTGACCTTTGGTTTCCCACCAAGCCATAACACATTAGGATATAGACTGTTTGGGAAATAAAGAGGAAGATATAATATAAATGTGCTCTCTGTACCAAATGATTGTGATAAATTCTGTATTTTGGTACACAAAGCAAAAGAAAACAAATAGTTTAACTGACCAGAGCAGAGGCCACTTGTCCTGCCATGGTGAAGATCCTCTTCTCTGTCATTTCACATGAGGACTCTGAACCGGAGTTATTCTTCAGTGAGAGAGGAGGGAACATTTAGAACACACAATGAGTCTTCTTATAGTTGGATTGTAGCCTTCCTTTAGACTACTTTTATGTGACCATAATCAGCTGTTACTCCATATGTACTGCAGGCTCACATGTGTAGAAGTAGGAACGCTGAACCTGCTCTCCTGTATACTGTATACTGTACTGTATACTTTTCCTAACAGGATATATTGGCCTACACACCTCAGAAAGGCAAAGAGCAGTAATCACTGTGACTACCCTGCATGTTTAGAGGTAATCACATAATGGTCCTACTACTTACAGGGAACATTTTTAATGCTTCTACACGTTACTGTGGGTATCTGGCATGTCTACCGACCCCAAAACTAAAAGACAAAAAAACAACTCCCGCGATTGGTTCTGGTTCTCGAACGTTGTGTGCGAATGACTGGAATGAGCTTCCTCATCATTCTGTCTCGTTCAGACGGGGTAAAAAGGGTTTTAAATGATCCTTGTGGTATTTTGAACAAAGTTTAAACTATGTTACAGACATTTCATTAAGACCTCAAAGGACCACATCAGCTGGTGCTAAAATGGGCACACGATGGGTCCTTTAAAGTGCCATGAAGAATATTATGTCCACTTCTGTTCTATTTGAACCGATCTGTTTTAATCCTATCCAGAATGTTTTTGATTTCTCTAATGAAATGCTTTTAAATACGCCTTTCTTAGGTTTCCTGCTCTATTTATTAGTGATGCAAACTACAGTGTAAACCTGGCTCATAATCCATTCATTTATGGACCAGTAGAAAGCTTACCTGTCGACATCTCCACAGGTACCCCAGCAGGTCTCTGTGTAGCAGCTCCTCCACCACCATCATGGGGGGCGGCTGGACGGAGACCACACCCAGCAGCTCAGGTATGAAGGGGTGGGGCCCCAGTCCTGACACGAAGGAAGCGAAACCGAAAAAGTGCTGCTTCTCACTACTGCTGGCCCGTTCTGATGGAAAGGTTAAACAACAGATCGATATTTGTATGGCCATTTTTCTGAACATTGAAGTTCCACAGAGAGGAAGTGCTTTCTTAAAAGCATCGTGGTTCACATTCACACTGTAACTGAACTGCATTTATTTGCAAAAAAATAGGCTTCTGTGCCATCAATCGCTTGTAGTTTTTTTTGTGTGGACATTTGCTAGTTGCTGTATTTGAGCGGCTGTGGAAACTGAACCAGAACCAAGCACGTATAAGGTACAAAACCCCCGTAAACTAGTGATGTGTTTCTTGCTAAGAAATGAACAAGACTAAACATTGCATGCAGTCACTCCACCTTTGAGCCTCCTCAGGACGACGTCCCTGTTGTCCATGCGCGCTCTGTAGAGGCTGACTGTGTCGTCCGGCTTAATGGAGAAGGACCGCGGCAGGGCAGTGACCTGGCTGAAGGCTCCGTGCTGCCTCTCTGTGGACACTTGAGGTACTGCAGCCCGAGTTGGCACGACTGTCTGCCGCTGCACTTGTTGAACTGACATTGGCAGTTCTTCGTGTTCTAGCGGGTTTATCCCTGGGGGGGCTATTCAGAGAGAGAGGCACACAGCAGAATATTACATTAAAAAAAATAATCTTCATACTTTAAGAGATTAGAAAGAACACCGGGACTCGTGCACGCTCACCATCGATTCCCTGTAGGTGAGGCCGTTGGCTCTTCCTCTGATTGTGTCTGTGTGATGAGCTGTGGGGGCGCTGAGGGGCTCTGCTCTGTGTCCGTTCAGGACAACACATCACTAAGCACAGGGCCAGTAAGGTGACCAGGCTCCCCAGGATGAGCAGCGTGGGGACGATGATCACCTCTTTCATGTGGTACGTCACAACTGAGAGACATCACAGAGTATCCGTGTGTAAATATCCGGTTGGAGACGGTGGATCCTTTTTAAGACTTTACATTTTCATGTGTGCCATTGCTGAGTTGCACTGCTGAGGAAGACCTTCCCACAGCAGGAATGTCCGAACCCCGTGTATTCTCGTGTTTTCAGTAAGCACGTCCTTCACCAGTTCTCGATGCTCTTGTCAATGTGTGTCTCAGACGGACTAAACAAACCCAAAACAACTGACGCTGTTTGGTAGTTGGTTTCTGTTTCCTGCTCGGGGGTCTTGGACAGCATGAATACGTTGGCTGGTAAAAGGTTGTACTCGGTATGTTGATGTTGATTGTGACGCATCATTTCTTTCACAAAGCACCTCAGTACTGGAAAGCAACTTTCACCTTCATGTCAATGGTGCAAACAAACCAACTGAACTGATATTGTTCTTCTAAGCTTTATTATTGTCTTTATTGTTGGAATGTTTTTGAGCATTTTCAGCAGGAGGGGAGAATTTCATAGTTACTCATGAATACCACAATCAGTTTCCCGTCACACTGGAGAAGCTCAGTAAGGTTTACCAGTAATGCTGTTTAGCCAATAGTCTTCTTTTGTCATCATATGACTGGCGTGAGCCATTGTGTTGCTCACTGCCTCCTTACAGGCTGCCGTCATTAGACGTGGCTGAATCACTCATTGGCATTTAGAGGCTCCGATAGTGCAAAGTCATTGATCGCGGGACTTTACCTGTTCATTCCGGGAACCATTTCTCTTTGACAGCCAAGCCCAACAGGAAATAGATTTGGGGTTTTTCCTGCTTACTCACGGCTGTCCTCATTATCTCATGACATTCACTTGAGCTCTCCACTGCTCTTCCCAGGATGCTTTTGTATTCACTCTTTTTATGGCTTTCATTTAGTCTTTTAGAAGTGCGCCTCCCCTTCACATTGACCCTTCACTGACAACCCTGTTAATACCAAAGTCTTTGTGTGGACCAACACACCTTTGACGTCATATAACAATGTATGAATCGGCTCCTGTTGTGGAAATACTGACGTGAATCCAATGTTTTTAGAAAGAAGAAACTGGAGTGAAGTCGGTGTTAGCGCGGCGTGCTGGTGGTGATTCTGAGGTGTGGTGAGGTAGTTGTCAAAGGGAGTAAATAATTTCTTGACATTCTCCTTTGGCTGTTTGAGCTCCAACTTTGAACAAGGACTCAACAAGTCATGTTAAAACCTCAACTACATGTTTGTTACCGTGAGACATCTGGCATTCTCATTACGTTGGTAGGAACGGTTAAAAGGTGCAGAATACATTCAAACTCATTTGTAGAAAGTCTTCGAATATTTGAATAAACCCGTAGTCAACATCCATCAACAACAATTTTAAAAGGCATCCTTACTGCAAAAATCAGGACTTTTTTTTAAAGTTATAGTTTCATGTGTTGTAATAAAGTTTGAAAGTGACTGGTATGGTGTGTGAAAGGCTCATCCTATATATACTATATATATATATATAGTATATATATATAGTATATATAGTATATATATATATATATATATATATAGTATATATATCCTGAAATAATAAATTTCTTGTTTAAATAAGGAAGCTGTTTTATTAACATACTCAACAGGCGGTGAACTGAAAAGTAGATGTATAACTAAAGATGAAAAGCAAAAGTCAGGAACTCAAACTAACTGTGGAGATGAAAAGGTCTCCAGGTACACAAAGACAGAAGACCGAAGTGAGGCGAGCAGTAAAGTAGGAAGAGGAGTAAAGTAAATAGGAGACATGAGAAGAGGAAGGGAGCGAGGGGAGAGGAGATGAGGAGCGGCTGTGTTCTTACTACAGAGCTGGTTGTTGGGTGCACACAGATTATCGGCCGAGGTGTTTGAAGACATGCTGGAGGGGAAGAGAGGAGCAGAGATCAGTTACGTCTCATAAATAACTTTATATATACATGTGGAAGTGGCTTTAAACTGTAGTAACCACCACATTTCACAAAGACGTTCATATTTACAGTAAATATCTATTAACAATCTTTACTTGCATAGCAAACAATGAAACCCTAAGCCTTTTTTTTTATCGCTCAAAGCAAATATAAAAAGGCGTGCTGGAGTGCTTGTTCTCTGTGTGTGCAGTTCAAACTGATAAATGTGTTCCATGCATGACAGAGAAGCAGAGATCAGCGTTACTGCTGCTCAGCATATAAATATCAACCCGGCATTCAGCAGCCCGTTAAACTTCTCAGAGCGCACACACGATACGGCTGCACGCACGGCCGAGCTCTCCGGTGTTCGCTGGCTCTTCCCGTGGTGCTCACATTGTGCCGGTTGGTGGTTTGTCAGTAAAAAGGTGGAGCATCATTTCCTCATCTAAAAAACCGAGTGTTTTTTTTATCAAGACCGGTAACTGGTAGCTACAGACAGGAAACTTTCTCACGTCACATGAAGGGAAACACATGACTGACTATGAATGTGACTTGTTTGATCACATCAGGGATATTCGGGATGGTTATGAAGTGGTCAGTACATGACCTCCAGCAGATGGCTTACTGAGACACAGGCTAAGGAAAAATTCATTTATACATATATAAATGTAAGTGTTGGTTTTCACTGTCTTACCTGCTAGACGGGGAACTTAAGCCCCCGTCTGCTGAAGTGCAGCTAACAGCAGAGCGCCCGATGCGAGGCCTGCATGCTCCGTGCACGGTTCATCCTGTGCTCTCCATTTTTTAAAGTAATTTACGCAAATGGTAAAAATTCAAACAATGAGGTAAAACAGGACAGACAGAAGCTGGAAAACCACGACGCCTCCTTTTTGTTTAACAAATGCATCGCAGGCGATCCGAACTAACCACCGTTAGCAGTGATGCAGAAGGCCCGACCCGTTCCCCCCCCTGTACACCTGTCTCACACACACACCTGTGTTACCAACCTGTGGAGCATTGGGTAAGAAAGTAAACCGTTTAACCACAGGGGAAGAAGACCTGCGGCCTCTTCATCAAAGCCTGTTCATCATTTAGCTTCTTTTGACTTCATTCTTTGTGGGAGGGGGAATGATTCTTTGAAGGTGCCTTCGTCTACGAGCAGCTGATGTGTTGTCATTCAATAACAGTTAAGAAATGTGTTGTTATGCCTCCCTCGTCCCCTTCTGTCATCTGGTTAAACCCGACAGCCACACGGTAACGCTCACTGCAGGCTGATGTGCATTAGAGGGATTAGAGGGGAGACATAACAAATGTTACCGCGCAGTGAGTCTGATCATCCACACCTCTCAGACCATGGAAACATTCTTATTATAGTGTACTCTCGATGAGACACACACACACACACCAACTCCTTACATATTTTCACTGGCATGCAGTTAGCATTCATGAGGACAATAAAAACTAAAGTGAAGCCTTTACAATTTAGGAAGAATGGATGTCACAGAACCTGTTTGTCTGCATTGCTCTCCCACACAGCTAACACGCCCGCAACAACACTCGCCCGCACGCACAACAAGACACAGACGCCTCTCCACACAAGAGCACACACTGAAGACACACAAACAAAATCACGGAGCAAAAGACATTACAGTTGTAAATCACTTGGGGAAGTTATGCAGTGATGCCGTTTATGAAAGGAGTCATAGAATAATGCATCTGAACTCGACCTGCACTAAGTGGCCGTGTGTCCAGACAACGTAACAGCACGTACACACAAGTGCACACAGATTTCAGCTGGAGCGTGTTTAAAAAACAACAGTTTCACCTGCACAGTATTTAAAGTTCCCTTGGTTGATCTTACTTGTCAGATTCTACGTGCTCCTCTCGTCCAAAGCGCCCAGGTGGAGAGTTGTGTAGCGTCCACGGGCCGGCACATCGTCAAAGTCTCAGCCTCTGTTTCTGTTTTGTGTCACACGCACGTTTTCTCCTGTGTGTGTCTGTCTCCCTCTCTGTAAGCCACACCCCCTCCCCGAGTCCTCGCCGTGCTTATCGCCTGCACACACCCAGTGTTTGCGTGTCATTGTTCGGGTGTTTGTGTGGAGTGACCCGGCTGCATTTCTCTTTCTAACTAGACAAGACAGAAAGTTGGATACTATTTGCATTTCCTTGGAAGGTATCAAGGATGCTTATTTTCAGCCCTTGTTTAATAGTCCTGATCCGAACCGCAGAGCGTTTACAGACTGACCATCACAGTTTGAACGGAACGTTTTACTCAGAATTATGTCTTATCTCTAGTCGCTGACCTCTGATAATGTCACAAACAACCAAACTGTGTTTAATCCATCTGCTAGCATTAGTCGTTCACAATGTGTAGTTGGTTAACGGTCCAGCGGTTATTTGTTAACATCCATTTAGTGTTTCCCTGCTATTATATTAGGGGGTGTGTATATATCGATATATTCATTTGCTAAATAAGCCGAGCTCAGGTAGGCGAACTTATGTAACAGTGAGTGCGTCCTCACCTAGAAGAGCTTTGTAAAGCGTGTCGTCTTGATCCTCCCAGATAAGCTACAAAGTCTAAAGATCAATTAGTTTTTTGAAGCTTCTGAAACTGGTGTTGAACAATCTTGACTTTTCACCTGCTGCGTCAAAGCCGAGCCGACGCACCTCCACACTGATACTGTTCACGTTGCTCCACGTGTGGATCTCTATGCAGACGCAAATCTGATCCTCTAAGTGAGAGAGACCTGAAGATCAGTTGGCCATCAATTTAATTCTGACATCAGCCAGTTGTTTGTTAACATGTGACAATGTCCCTTTGTATAGAGAGTAAAGCACATTTCAAACCATATCATGAAGCAAATACCAGATTTGCTGCATTCTTTATGTCTGGTAGAACCTAAGTAGTCCACCTCTTGCATCATGGAAGTATTAAACAGATTGGAAATCATTGGCATCGACCCCCTTGACCGGAAAACAACCGGAAAACCGCGAGCTGGTGTTCGGTGTCTGTAGTCATTGTCGTGTCCTCTGCATCCACACTGAGAGTGAGCGTAGCGCGATGGAGAATTCTGTTGGATCGTCCTCGTTACGTCGTTACATCAGGAATCAGGAATCAAACCTGTGAATCTGAATTCTGAAAGTCCAGCAAATCTTCACGTCACTGCGGGCCAACTTCTAGAAAACAGTTTCTAGATTATTCTACTTCTTTCCATTTTGCTAGGTAACACACGGCGACGTTGTGGGGGAAGTCTCTGCTCACTGTCACGTGGCCTGCAGCGCTTCACCTGCTTCACCTGCTTCACCCACTTCTGCGCCCGCGTCACGAGCCATACGTGTTTGGAGCACTTCGAAGCCATACGAATGCTCACGTTTGTTTGACTTGCTCACTGCAGTTTGCCTGTGGCAAGGGGGGCTGGTGGGTGGGGGGGTAACCCCAGCTGGAGCTGGTTTACTGTGTGTGTGTGTGTGTGTGTGTGTGTGTGTGTGTGTCAGAGAGGGAGAGAGTGTCCTGGCTGGGTGTCCTGGTAATGCTGAGACGGACTGTGAGCGGATGGGTTTATTTTTGGGTCAGTGACTGTGTGTCAATGGCCGCAGATGCGTCGCAAAGGAAGGCTCTGAGATACAAGCAAACGCTGGTCAGTGTCCCCCTCTCCTTCCTCTCCTTCTTTCTCTCTCTCCCTTCCTCCGTCGCTGCTCCGTGCTGCTCCACCTTTTCTTTCCCTGAATCATTTGTATCAGCAGTGCAAGCTACATGTGCACGGATGGAGCCCGTGTGACTTGCTGTGTGTGTGTGTGCGTGCGCGCTAGAGATTGCAAAGACCAATTAGCTTCATGTACAACAACAGTCACGCACGTGACCACGCAACAGGTGCTTCGACACCGTGCACCACCTTCACCCCTGATCTCGGTATGCACAGATACATGTGCAATCACACACACACACACACACACACTTTGTCGCTGTGTTCCTTCCTTCCAGGCCGACCACCTGTTTGCTCCTTGTTCCGTAAGCCCCACTCGGTCTTAACACAACTAGAATTATGTTGTGCGTTCATCTGCGATTGTGTGTCCATGCGTGTGCGTTGGACGCTTGTCTCACGAATGCGGAACCCGATCAGCCATGTGCCGCGGCGCTAATCCTCACCTTTCGTGCGGTTACATGTATGTTGTGGGACCCGGCGGCGTGAAGGCAGCCGCAGAGAGGCGTCTCATCCGGAGGACTTGGGAGCTTCGTACACTGCAACACATAAAATAATTCAGACTAATTCATAAAAAAAGAAATCCAGTTGTTAAATCTGCTTTGGCCGGCGTTTTTTAAATATCTTAATTGTAAGAGTTTACAATTTATCCACATCAGATTAAAAAAAAAGTTATACAATATACTAGTTGGGCCCTTTGTTTTGTCTTGTTTTGTCTTCGATACTAAGATGCAATAATATCACTTTATTGTGGTCCTCCTTCATACCAATTTATAAATAGAATAATCAATAACTTTGAACTCTTTTGAACCTTTTGCCACCAGTTACAAATCTAACTATAATATAATATAAACCCCCTGAACATTCAAGGTTTCATTTCAACAAACGTTCTCCTGTAAGCAATCGAGTTGAATGACGGGATGCTTGAGGGCCGACGCGGCGCACACAACCGCAGGCTCTGCGTGCTGATTGGCCGACGGGAGAGTGCTCCGTTGTCTGCTGGGTCAGCGCGCGCTTCTCTGGTGTCATCACAGTGTGTAAATAAAGTTTTTCAATTGGCTCAGGCACCAAAATCTGCGTTGTGTTTCGGTGCGGTAGCTGCCGGTCATATAGGAACCGGTGCCATATGTGGTTTCCTGTGTTGAATTGGCACATGACACTAGTTTCTAAAAATGTCTAAAAAACGGTACCCAGCTCAGTTTAGACATTACTTCTCCCTCTGAAGGGGCGCAGCGCTGTACCTGTACCCGAGCCCCACTAGCCGCACACACATTGTACGTTAGCATGTTGGTGCTGTGTGGTAGTTAAATCCCAATAGGGGGAAACTCTTTAGTACAGTCTTGTCTCGGCCTGCTTCCTCTCTGAGTCCGAGAGAGACAGAGAGACAGCTGAGCGGGGGAGAGTGAGCAACGTGGGAGAAACTAGGGAATACGATGAGGCATTGGAAGGTACACTGATGGCAGGAGGGAGGGAGGGAGGGAGAGAGGTGAGGGAAGCTAATGAGGAACACTGGATCACACCGCTGCTGCTAAATTTAGCCCTGAGTTGAGTTTCACTGGGGAGGGGGGCGAAGTGTCCAGTTTCACTGCTCAGGAGGGAAGCGGGAAGGTGAGGTGGACTGAGGTAAAGCAGCGTGGCGAGGATGGATTTCTGACCACACACTCGCTGCTGGAGGTCTTTTGTCCCGGGGGAACAGCTGATTGCACTTCCAATCACGCAGCTTTGGTTTCTCAGTCGAGTCGACGAGGCCTTGTTAATTACAGTTATATATGGTCAGCTGACATGCTCTAATCATCATTACTGAGGGCCCATTTTACAGGATTTATTTAGATTAGTATGTATTAGACACAACATTTGGTCTCGTTCTGCTGATTGACACATTGAGGTGATGACTTAGTAAATTAAATGTTAATTTTATCAACAGATACCTGTTGAATGAGCTCAACGGGCCACCAGCATGCCATAGCTGCCCAAACCTTTTGGGTCAGCTCCATCTAGGATCCAGATTTTCTTTAACACCAGACTGGATGTCTTGTACCGAGCGGCCCGGGGCGAACCCCCCCTCCCCTACCCCCCACGCACTTTTGATCCTCCCCTCGACTATTGGGTCGGATGTATTTTCAAATCAAAAAGTCCATTGTTTGAGAGTGTGTTGTGTGTGTCGGCATTCAGTGACAGCTTAACTTGTATTATGCTGCTCAAGTTTCACACTGCATGGCCACAACCTTGAGTGTGTGTGTGTGTGTGTGTGTGTGTTAATCCATCCATCAATCTTTCCATGAACCTGCTAAAATAAAAGCCGTTGAAAGGTGAGTGCAGACGTCCAACGTGTCGGCACCAGAAGCATCCATCAGGCGTCAGTTGTATTCTTGGAGGTCTATTGTTTGCTGTCGATGTAGCTGGAATATACATGAGCCCTGGTGTGATATTTAGTGCACACTGCTGACATGTTCGACCCCCGCTTCACGACTGTAGATGCAAGATTACAGCGATTCCCTGTGATTGTGCGTAGCGGGAATGAGGAAAAGGATTTCACTCTGGTTCGACTCGGGTGTCGCCACATGGTATTTTTTCATGTTACTGTAGATGTCAAGAAGACCCAAACACTACCAACAAACCCGACTAGAAGAAGATTGTAGGTGTGAACACACAACACTAAGGACTCCCAAAGGCCGTCACCCTGAGCACCAAGAGAGTTTAAGTGCACCGTTACACCTGCATATTTCAATTGCTTGGAAGACATAACATCATTGCATTTAAGAATTTGATGTTAAAAACTATAGAAAAGCCTTATTGTAACGTCTGAAAAAGGACCGCGTGTGTGCTTGGATCAGATGATTAAAGAAATCACTGAGGGCATCTCTCACTGGAAGAGATGTTTGGCCCAGTGAGAATTGATTTCTTCCCAAGATGTCTTGCAATTTCATGGAGTGTGTCCAGAGGTGATAAATCCCGAGGCAGAGCCCGTGTTTCCCATTCGAGCTGTGTGGGTCAACACGTGCTCGGCCTATTAATACTCATCTCGGCCGAGCTGCCAAAAGGAGAGCGCTATCACTCTCTCCATTCCCTCTTTCTCAGGAGCTACCTGTACATGTTCAGGTCTAACGAATGAAAGCCGGATGTTTGTGGGATTTCTCTTCTGTACTTCTGGGTTGACGCATCGGTTCACCGGTTGATTTGACAGCTTTATGGGGAGTACCAAGAGAACCAGGGAGGCTCCGGCAGGCGGGAGGCCACGCGCCTGCTGACCGAGAGGCAGATCAAGAAGCATGGCAACCATCACCGCGGCCGTGGCAGGACCCGCCTCGGCCGGCGCGGCCCCAGCCAGAACGGCCGCCATCAGCACGGCCACCATGGCAGGCCGAGGAACCGGCGCCAGTCCAACATGGAGGCAGACGGCGACGAGCACGAAGAGCAGACGTCGGAACCCGGCCTGGCGTCCTCTATGAAGAAGAGCCGCTCCTACTCCAAATGTAGAGGTGAGATGGGACCGAAAACGGAAGTACTCCTTAGGTTCCTGACTCCTCCTGACTCCTCCCCTTCCTGTGGCGCTTCCATCTCCTCAGACTGCATAGCGCGGGTGCAGCGCTTCCTTGTGACCAGGTTGGGAGAAGACTGGATCTTCCTCGTTCTGCTGGGCATCACGATGGCGCTGGTCAGCTGGACAATGGACTATGCCAGCGCTAAGAGCCTGCAAGGTAGGACTACGGGGCCCACAATGCATTGCAGGACCTGTTCAAGGAAAGGAAAGGCACGTGAAGGATACCTGTGAATTTCCTCTTCCATCCCCCCAACCCCTCCCGCAGCCTATAAATGGATTCATGGGGAGCTGAGGGAGAACATCCCCCTGCAGTTCCTGGCCTGGGTTTCATATCCCCTCATCTTCATTCTTTTTTCCTCCTTCTTTTGTCAGCGGGTCGCCCCTCAAGCTATCGGTCAGTTTTCCCCCCCCCCGCCCCCCCCCCTCCCTCCACACACACACACACACACACACACACACTTTTGGTGTCTAATAGCGTGTCTCTATAAGATGTAATCCACTGAATATTACACATTATGCATTTCAAATTCTGTCTGAAACTGACTGAGTATCGATGGGTAACTCTCTGGAGGCCCGTTAGGCTGCGCGATTACCTCCAAGCCATTTCTCTGAAAGTAATGGTCTGGAAATCAAACTATTCTGTTCAGAAGACAACATCCAAAAACGAGGTGTAGCTTCACTAAGCTACAGTCTATGTTTGTGTAAGTTCTTTAAATCGGCTTTCTAGATGGATGGTATGTTAGTGGCTCCGGAGTTCCCCAGAAGTCGTGATATACGACTTATAGTCGTGTTCGATACCATTACGCCTGCTTAACTACCTGCGTCCTTCCTCAGGTTCTGGCATCCCAGAGCTGAAGACCATCCTGAGAGGTGTGGTGCTGAAGGAGTATTTAACTCTCAGGGCCTTTGTGGCTAAAGTCATCGGCCTGACTGCCGCCCTGGGCAGCGGGATGCCTGTGGGCAAAGAGGTGGGCATCCAGATGAATCAACTAATCTCTCCATCTCCATGTACGCTTCCTGATTAAAAAGCTCCCTGTTTGGTGCTCGTCTCTGTCACTCAGGGCCCATTTGTTCACATCGCCAGTATCTGCGCTGCAGTTCTCAGCAGGTTCATGTCCTTCTTCTCAGGAGCTTATCAGGTGAGCCGATTGTCGGGAAAGATTATATTATTAAGGTAAAACGTTTCATTGGGATTATGAGAGGAAAGTGTGTGAGGTTTTCCTCATGTGTGTGTTGTCTCTCCGTTGTCTCGGTCCTCTGGATCAGTAGAATCCGTACTGTTACACAGACATCCTGACTGTGGGCTGTGCTGTCGGAGTAGGCTGCTGCTTCGGCACTCCGCTCGGAGGTACAGTCTTCATGGGGAACTTGAAATATCCACAAATCCCTTTTACAGGAGACACAGGATCTGTCTTTGTCTGTGTCCGTGTGCTTACTGTTTCCTCCCCCAGGTGTGCTCTTCAGCATCGAGGTGACGTCCACGTACTTCGCTGTGAGGAACTACTGGAGGGGGTACTTCGCCGCCACGTTTAGTGCCTTCATATTCAGGGTGTTATCCGTGTTCAACAAAGACGCAGGTACTGACCAGAGAAACGCTATCAATTAAGTTATTGGCGGGCGTTAAAATGCTGTGTTGGCGCGTGAGGGATCCCCTCCCCTAGAGGGCACCCTCCCCCCAGTAACCAACACCCGCAGGCGCCGTTTGAACTGAATATATTTCATACATACATCTGTGTGCTCTTCTCACCGCCTACTAAATTCAACAGTTGAGTATGAATTAAGTATTATCACATGGCGACGTTGCCTGTCTGAAAGAAAACGTCACATCTTCTACTCAATTTATTGTATTTCTTTAGCGAGTTAAGAATTTATTTTCGGTTTGTTTGTGAAATATATAACATTATATAGAATTTCTACATAACATTATGTATGCTTTTCCCATGAACTTTATCTTAATGATCTCCCGATTGTTGTTTTATCCAACCAATTATGTTTGACTGTGAGATAAAATTATTGCTCAACTAGTGAACATCCTGGCACAACATGAACTGCACACACTGGACTACACACATTTTTTTATAAATGTTTATCCTTCTTCTAAGGATAAAATGGACCGAATGCACATTTCTTACCTGCTAAAAGGGTCTCTGCTCTTCCCTGTTAATTGCTTTAATGGCTCCACCTCTTTTTCTTGTCTTGCAGTCACCATCACTGCTCTGTTCAGGACGAACTTTCGTATGGATTTCCCTTTCGACCTGCAAGAGCTGCCCGCCTTCGCCATCATCGGGTGAGACATATATGTATATAGCAGCGCGTGTGTGTGCACACGCATGGTTTGTCTCCGAACTTCTTCAATATAAAATGTTAGTAAGTCGAACATTATGCAAATGTAGCATTTAAAACACCCAATTATTATTGCACCATTTTCCTCAGGGAGAATAGAGTAGAAGAGAGGGAGGAAGAGGGAGGAGGGGGGGAGATAACTCTAATGGGAAGTTCTTTGTGTGTGCAGGATCTCCTGTGGCTTCTTGGGGGCCTTCTTCGTCTACCTCAACAGACAGGTGGTTCTGTTTATGAGACGACCCAATGCCATGACGCGCTTCCTCACCAAACAGTGATTCTATGGGGGGGGGGGGGGGGGGGTTAATATGTACTTTCATTCAAAGGTCCAAGGAGTAGTGGTCCTGACTCGATTACAGATATTCACTGAATGTCTCCCCTCCCAGCCGGCTGATTTTTCCCGCTGTGGTAACGCTAGTCGTCGCCACGTTGACCTTCCCACCCGGCTTCGGACAGTTCATGGCAGGAGAGGTCAGAGGTCATGTCTTGTTGTCCCTCTAGTGCATGCGACTTGCTCCGTCCCTGCAGCAGAGCTTACACTGTTTAAAACACCCACATGCAGATGGTCATGGAAAACACCTGCTTCAAAGATTTCTGGGAAACCCACCGCGGGTCTTTAAACGCGGCCGCCGTCTTCTTCACAAGGCTCTCAGGTGTGACATCGTTCAATCCGTTCACGGGGAAATGCAAACTACTACTTCATGTCTCAGTGTGCACCAGATAAATGAATGAATGAACTAGAAAATGTCTAAATACACAATGTTTCCAAAGTCAGTGAGTAATCATGTCATAGTTAGAAGGAAGCCGTATCCCAACATGCAGGCTTTTAGACATCCTCAAGATACGGTTTTTAATGCATACCCCTAAGAACATGTGTTTCATCGTCGCTCAGAATAGCCCACTTAGTGCCAACCACAGGTGTGTGTGTGTGTCTGTGTGTGTGTGTGTGTGTGTGTGTGTGTCTCTTAAGAACAAAAAGTGTGCGACGCCTCAACATGTTTGTTCCTTCACACCTGCATTGTATCCACGTCTCACACCTTTTCTACCAAACTAACACAGCGGGGGAGTGGAAGTGATGCATAGATTTAAAAAGATATCTCTCTTAAGTTAAGTTAAGATATCTCTCTTAAGTTAAGAGAGATATCTTTTTGGGGAAGACATGGGTGTCATCCCCCCCACCCGCCGCCTATGCGATTTGTTCCTGTGAGCGTATTCCGAGGCCTCGATGCGAGTCCTTTCATTCCGAGTCATTGGTGAGGCGTCTGCAGGGCGTCAGTCATTGGACGAGGACACCCGTCCACTCACAGCTTTCCGGGGGACTTTGTGTTTGTCCCACTTCACATTCTGCCTCCCGTCCTCTTCCTTCATCCTTTTCCTCTTCATTCATCTTCATCCCTCCTTCCGCCATTTATATCTATCCTTCCTTCCTTCTCTCTCTATACTTCTCTCGTCTGCTTCTTATTCTCATCCTTCCTCTTTCCTCCCCGTAGTCTCTTTCCTCATCTTCATCTCTTTACCTACACCGTTTCTCCTGCTTTTTGCTGCTTCTCTTAATGGTTCTTATTTTCTCCATACTCCCTGCCTTCATGCCTTTCACCCTCTGCTTTTTGCCCCCCCGTCCCCTCCTCCAGCTAATGCCGAGGGAGTGCATCAACTCCCTGTTCGACAACTTTACGTGGACAAAGATTTCGGGATCTCCTCCTCCGGTCGGACTGGGTCTCTCTGCCGCCTGGCTGCACCCTGATGTCAGCGTGTTCCTCGTCCTGCTGCTCTTCTTATTCATGAAGGTCTGTGGCTGCTGGGAACTCTCTGTGTGTGTGTGTGTGTGTGTGTGTGTGTGTGTGTGTGTGTGTGTGTGTGTGTGTGTGTGTGTGTGTGTGTGTGTGTGTGTGTGTGTGTGTGTGTGTCATTATTTTGATAATGCAAGAGTGTATGACTGGGGCGGCACGGTGGCGTGGTGGTTAGCACTGTTGCCTCACAGCAAGAAGGTCCTGGGTTCGATTCCGCCCAGTGGCCTTTCTCTGTGGAGTCTGCATGTTCTCCCCGTGTCTGCGTGGGTTCTCTCCGGGTTCTCCGGCTTCCTCCCACAGTCCAAAGACATGCTCTGGGGATCAGGTTAACTGGGGACTTTAAATTGCCCGTAGGTGTGTGAATGTGAGTGTGTGTGGTTGTGTGTCTCTGTGTAGCCCCGCGATTGGCTGGCGACCAATCCAGGATGTACCCTGTCTATCGCCCGAAGTTGGCTGGGATGGACTCCAGCCCCCCCGCGACCCTGTGTGCAGGATAAGCGGTTTGACAATGGATGGATGGACGGAAGAGTGTATGACTCTCCTTGTGAAAGTGTGCGTGTGTGTGTAACTCCACCTGACGTCAGCATTTTCGTCATCATCCTCTTTTTCATTAGGGACATTTGCAGCGGCCCACTCATGTTGTGTGTTGGTGATGTGGACGTGTGCGTGTGTGTCTTTGTTTTCCTCCTTTTCTCCCTGTCCAAGGTCAACCGTGTTGCAACCTGCCAGCAGCTCCAGCATTTTTGATGTTTTCCTGAAAGCAGCTGCACACAGAGACACACACACACACACACAGCCCGCAAGAATTCCAATCTCAGCTGTAAGCGATGCCGTCTGGCTGCTGGGTCGACTGTGAAGCTGCACGTCAGTCTGTAAGAAAAAGAAATCCCAGCGTTTGCGGACGCTACGGGCAGCCAGTGCGGCTGATGCCTTCACACCAGGCGGGGCCGGCAAGGCCGCAAACGCTCGCGGCCCACACCGATGCACCGGTGGTGTCATTGACATTCGGGAGAACGTCGGCGCAGAGGACCTCATCCAAGCCCCGCTGTGTGACCTGATCGGAATATATGATATTAGCACACCTCGTCCTCAAATGTCAAAGGAGCAGCGCCATCTTCTCCGCCCGCCTTCCATAAAACACGTTTTTCCTGTGATAGTGAAGCAGTGTGTTTGTCATTTCAGATCATTAAAACATGATTGACTTGTAGCATGCGTGCTGGTTAGCTCCATGGCTAGTAAGGTAGCCACAGTGTGCTAGTGAAGAGGACCAGGCAGACTTCTAAACCTGGCTTAGCCTCACCTAGTCATACGTCCCTCATTGTGGTCCAGTATTTCTAATACCGACTGAAACAATCCTGTGAACAACAGAGCAAACTTCTCAGTTAAACTTGACATGGGATCAAAATAGATAAATTGCAACTCCAAAGCTCCAAGCTGCGTCGAGGGCAAAGGGTGGTCTTCCACATGTCAGCCTCTCGACGGTCTTCTGGGCAGTCTGTCAAGTCTGGTCTCTAAATATTCGGCGTGCTGACCTGTTGGCTGCGGCAGAAAAACCCTGCCAAGCTGGAGCTTGTGAAGAAGATGCAAACCAGACGTCATCAAACTCTTGAGGCCACACACACACACACATTGCACATCATTCAAACCCGTCTGAAGCTTAACAGACGACAGTGGGAGGGGGGGGCGAGACGTGCTAATGGCTTTTTATCTTGCACCGCAGTAATTAAGTTCTCAAACTGCCGATGACAAACGATACGCCCAACGGTAATCTCCACTGCTGGAATGCTAATGCAGTGCAATGTTACTCGGCCCAATCCCCTCCGATCAGAAGGAGAAAAGCCCGGTGTGTGGATGCTGGTGAAACACACACACACACACACCAGCCAGCCCAGAGCTCCAGTAAAGTCATTGTTGCCGCTGACGAGTTCTCTACAGCGAGATCGTAGCGTGGTATTTCCAAGCGACGCTGTGAGCTTTTAGGAGGGACACGTCCTCTGCAGCTTCACTGGAGCAGCTGTTGAGTAAGTGCCTTGCTCAAGGACACCCAAGGGTGATTGCTTCCCCCCCACACACACACACACACACTAGGGGTGTAACGATTCATTTTAACAACGATTCTATTCGAAACGCGATTCATAGTTGCCGATTCGTTTCATGGACGATCTGGGTTCATTTAGAACGATTCGATTCAGTGACTTGAAATCGATTCAGTAAGTTTACTGGACAGTGCAGGCAAAGTTTCTGAGATCCCTGTTGTTTCTTGTAAGGAAATCAGGTTTAAATTAATTCCTGATATTATAAACAAGCAAACAATTAATGGCAAATGTATTAACCTTTTATTTGAATCAAGTGCCATTTTCAATGTGAACATTACACAATAATTACACAATGTTTGGATCAATTCACAGACACCACATCGTAGGGTCGCACGTCTTTACAGATAAACTTGTTACTGTGATGAGTTTGGTGCTGGCGAGGCCTGAGGCGTCTGCAGAGCTGCAGTTACCTGCTGCTGCTGCAGCGGTGACGCTGCTAGAGGTCCTGACTGTCGGCGTTGTTTAATCCCACGGCGCCTTAGTAGACGGCCGGAAAGATTCCTCGTGTTTCCGTGGTTTTTTTTATTTGGCTTCTACATATTCTACAAACAGCGACCGACTTATTTAGAACACCTCCGCGTTTGCAAAAGCCAAAATGTTTCCACGCGCTGTGTCTCGCTCGCAGTCGTCTCCTCCACGCTGTGTTTTGTTGTTGTTCAGAGTTTCGCGCGGCTGCCGCTGCGTACTGATGACGTCACAGACAGGCAGACTGAATCCAGTAACGTTTAACGTGTCTAAAGTGCTAAAAAACAAACAAACACAAAATCCATACAGTTTTTGTGCTTAAATCCAATGTGCAGTTTCCAAGTATCGATACAAATCGATTATGTACCATTTCAATCGATTTGTAATCAATGTATGTCATCCGGAATGCCGATTTGCAGAGCACGGATCAATTCAGTTGGATCGCTAAATCGATTAATCGCTTCACTGAATGAATCGTTACACACACACATTCTTTAGCTGTGACTTGAGTTGGCCCGATTCATTTTCCGGTGTTTTTTGAGCTTTAGGTTTTTTTTGAGCACCATCGGTTCCCTCGTCTGAATGGTGTTGCTCTTCTATTGTCTTCCAGTTCTGGATGTCCGCTGTGGCCACCACCATGCCCATCCCCTCTGGTGCCTTCATGCCCGTCTTCATACTGGGTGAGCAGGAAAACACGCATTCACTTCATTTTCTGTGGAAAGGAGTTATTTGGTCGTAGAGCATGTTGGATTCCGTAAAATGTTCCCACAGTTAACGTTTCATCAGCTTTCATATGAGATTTCAGCCGTTACTCAGATCAATGTTTTAGGAATCAGTTTGCGGCTCATCTGTTTTTGTGGTATGAAATGCTCTGCAATGTGACCTTCACTGGTGCTTCGCCTTAAAATGTGCATCATTACGAGAGCAGCTTCAGAGAACAAACTCTGCTCTTGGTGTGTGTTTGTCTACGGTTTTAAATTTGGCCTTTTTCTCCGTCACAAAGTGCAAAAAAGTCTACATTTTTCGAACTTGCAAAGGAGTACTCCAGGAAGTTGATGCTGTGTAAGGCAGATGACGTTTTGGACACAATCCTGCTGAACTGATTCCTCTCAGTAAACACAGACCACCGTCTGGAGCATTTCAGCAGAAAGTAAATCTTTTATTGTATTGTAATGAAAGTTTGCTCCTCTCTCTCGGTAGGAGCTGCGTTCGGCCGGCTGGTCGGGGAGATCATGGCCACGTTGTTTCCCCACGGGATCGTGTTCGATGGCATCCTCTACCGCATCATCCCCGGAGGGTACGCGGTCATCGGTGAGTGGCGTCGTCCTCCTCCTCCGGTCCGTCTCGTGACACTTGTGACACAGCTGACAGCTGAAGTCTCAATACTAACATTCATAATTAGACCCTTTTCATGTTTTCCTGTGAAGCTGTCCTCCTCCTCTCCTGTCAACCTCAGCTTGTCAGCAGACATCCTTCCCTTTCGCCAACCCCCCACCCCCCCGCACCCTCCTCTCCTCCTGTCAACCTCGGGGGAACTTGAGTTGTCTTCTCCACCTGATCTTCCTCGTCCCCCGCCTCTTTTTTGTCCTCTTCCTCCTCCTCCCTTCCATCACAACATGTGGCCATTCTGCTTTGACTGTGAATGTCACAGTGGGTTCCCTCTGCTCAGCGACCCAGAAACCTGCCCCCTCCCCCCCCATCCCACACCCCTCTTCTTTCTCCCTTGATCTTTCCTTCCTCCTCCTTCCTTCATTTTGCCCTTTCCTGTGTTTCGCCCCTTTTGTTAGCTTCCTATTCTCTCAGAACTTGTACCATGTTTATCACATCTTTTTGATGAGTGAGTCTGACCACAGCTCCCCCTCTCGTCCTGTGCCCCCCACCCTCACCCACCAACGCCACCAGGAGCGGCGGCTTTGACCGGGGCCGTGACTCACACGGTGTCCACGGCGGTGATCTGCTTTGAGCTGACCGGTCAGATCTCTCACATCCTGCCCATGATGGTGGCAGTGATCCTGGCCAACATGGTGGCCCAGGGCCTGCAGCCCTCCCTGTACGACTCCATCATCCAGGTCAAGAAGCTGCCGTACCTGCCGGAGCTCGGCTTCGGGCACATGAGGTTTGTGCTTCTTCTGCTTCGGGGTGCAAGAAGGTCTAAGAAGTTTATTCAGGTGCCGTCTTAGAATGATGAATCCCAATATGTCGTAAATTGAAAGCTGGTGCCCCGTTGCTCCAATTTAGCGCAAGTTAACGCCCCGTTAATTCCCATAAAAGGGCATGAGATGGCCGTGGAAGCCTCGACTCCAAACGAAAGACAAAAAGAAGTGGAGAATAAGTGTGTGTATTTATTAAAACAGACATATAATTATTAGCAAAATTGTAAAAGAGAGATATATTCCATTTTAAATTAGAACGGACGAAAACGGTATAATGTATTTTGCGCAAACATGTCCGCTCTCAATTGTGTGTAAGAGTGCTCCGTGCGTGAATTCTGTTCTTACCCGAGAACGAATCCCAAATAAGATAAAACATTGGAGAATGCCAGAATCTTTGTGAAAACTGCATAAGTGGCGATTAAGCACAAATTTGTTCTTATCTTGGTGAATGAGGCCCACAGTGTGCAAGATTTAGAGTGACCATTAAAAAAAGATACATAGTCCTTTTATTTATGTACCTGAAATGTACATTATTATCATTCCACGTGTGTGAAATGTCGCTGTGTGTGTGTGTGTGTCTCCGTCCTGCAGCCAGTACAACATCGTGGTAGAAGACATCATGGTGAGGGAGGTGAAGTTCATATCATCTCAGTCCACATACAGAGAAGTCAAACTGCTGCTGGACTCCTCCTCGCTCAACTCCATCCCTCTGGTGGACTCAAAAGGTGGCGCCGCTCATCGGGAACGGCCCTCTTCAATGGGATTAGACTCAAACGTTCCCACGCTTTGGAAGTCTGTCTGATAACTCCTCCCTGCTTCCAGATTCTATGATCCTGTTGGGCAGCATCGACAGGTTGGAGCTCTTGGCTCTGTGTGATTGGTGGCTGTCACCGGAGAGAAGGCTCCTGATGCAGGTGAGGACGGACACTGCAGATTATTGCGTTTCGTGTCATAGGAACACAAGTGTGCAGGTAGAATAGTTGTTACCACCCCGATAATTCTCCATTTCTTCTACTCAAATGGCCAGAATGGGTGATGTATAGATAATGTGGGACTGATGTTGACCTGATATGATCTTGGATTTCCGGTCAGAAGCGGCCTCAGAAGCACAGCTGGGAGTCCTTCGCCTTTGTTGACGAGGAGGAGGAGGAAGAGGAGGACGGAGAGAAGGTGGAGCTCTAATCTGTTCTCCAGTGAATATGTTTTAATAACTGTTGTATTAGCTGCCGAGCGCCGTCTTTTGTTTTTCGGTTCAAACCACCTGATCTTAGTTGTTATGCGATATAAGATACTGATGATGTCCGTTGTCTGCAGGGCGGCCCGGTGCAGGAGGAGAGTAACGGCCCCCTGCCTCCTTCTAAGCCTCAGGCGGCTTCCTCCAACCACAGCGCTCTGCTTCCTGGTGAGCTTTATTTAAATGCATGAGGCGTGATGAGTGAACAGTGGACATGAAAACTTTTAATAGTTGATTTGATCAACGTGGATCATTGCAGGTGGACAAAGGATGAAAACCTTTTCGTTAAAACTGGAATTTTATGTGTAAATCATTTCATAAATCCCGGATAAAGTGTATCCGCTCTCATTGGCTGTAAACCCACTCCTAGTAACAACGGAAACATTTACGTTAATTTGCTTTATGGGGTCAGATCAGTAATTCAAATATATTTTTGAATTGCTCTGTGCGCATTTGCAATTATTGAGACTGATCTGACCCCATATTACATATCGCTCTGCTAGCTGCTACTTTGTGTCATTTCCCAGTCACAGACTTTCAGAAGCGAGCTCATTTCCTTCTGGCTTGTCCAGATTTGTGTAGAAACAAGTCAAACTTTGATCTCCGTTACACTTTGAATCTCTTGACATAAAGTCCAGCCTCGGCGGTGGAAGCCTTATGGGGCTCGTCGCCGTAATATTGATTCCCTGGGACAAGTTTTGCCCACCAGGGTGACGTAATAAGATTTATTCTTGTCCGCCGTCTCTCCCATTCTGCCTCAGAAACAAACATGTCAACCGATATGACCAAGCTTTTAGTCAGAGCCCGGATGGCTCACCGATGTACATCGGCGCCGGGAGGACGCTTTGGGCTTTGTAAACAACGTTACCATAAAGTGATGGCTCCTCCCATTGTTGCCCGGCAGGGCCGATACGCCAGTCACTAGTTTGTCGAATCATAATCCCACCAATCAGGAACATTTATTGCCGAAATATGCTAAAACGTAGAAGGAGTTTGAAAAATGAAACGTCAACGGCCTGTTTTATTGACGAGCCGCCGCTTCACGGCGTTCACCACAGCAAGCTGCTTCGGGTTGGTTCATCTCGGCCCTCAGCGGAAGTCAAACAAATGGGATTTTTCACTTTGGAGCCCCGGCAGGACTATAAAGAGTTGCACCTCCGTCTGCAGTTTGATTATTTTCTCCAACAGCTTTTGACTCTTTTAGAAAGCAGCATGTGTAAAATGTGTTGAACCTCTGCATATCCGGCTCCTGGTGTGTGTGTGTGTCTCTCTCTGTCTCTGTCTCTCTCGTGTGTGTGTGTGTGTCTCTGTCTCTCAGAGAGAGCTCCTCTCCAGTCGGTGCAGAACACACTCAGGAGTCTCTTCACCTCTAAGAGCAGACAGAGCGAGGGACAGTTCCAGGTGTGTGTACACACACTTTTATTGTGTGTCTGTCTACCACTGAGCATGTTGTGTGTTCTCAAAAAACACTTTTTTTAATCATGTAGTTAATAGAACTTTGTTTGATTCAAGCAACACCTGGTTGTCTTTAGAGAATAATTATTATTAATTATTAATATATATACACACACACACAGTCTCCGGTCTTTATTAGGTACATCTGTTCAATTTACACAAGTAGCCAATCACATGGCAGCAACTCTAATGCCTTTAGGAACGTAGACGTGGGGAAGACGACTTGTTCAAAGCGACCTCAGAATGTCATGAATGTAATGACTTTGACCGTGGCTGTTGGTGCCAGACTGTGTGTTACAAACTGCTGACCTACTGGGATTTAAACACACAACCATCTCTCGGCGTCACACAGAGAAAAAAGAGAAAGTGTCCGGTGAGCGGCGGCTGTGTGGTGAAAATGCCTTGTTGGTGTGAGAGGTCACAGGAGGGCGGGCAGACTGGTGGAGATGATCGAAAGGCAACAGGAACTCAATTAAACAATATTGTCTCTTAGGAATGTCTCCATAACGTATCCGGTTTGTAATCCCGCTCACTGACTTTCTTTGTACGTTTCCACATTTCTGTGTATTTACGTCTTTGTAAACCTCTGTGCCCTTTTCTCTGTTGAGCCAAATGTTTGAAGTGTATGAAGGCAGCAGTCGAGAAATGTTCCCTCGAGTCACCAACCATTGAAATGCAAAGGACCACACTCACCACTCGTTTCTCTCCCCCTTCTTTATTCGTCACAAGGAGCCGTGTGCCCCCCCCCTGACGGACAACATGCCCCCGGAGCAGGTATGGTCCCCATGGGAGGATGTGCATGGTGTTTACTGTTTGCTGCACGTCGGTCAAACCGGTGATGTCCCCCTGATGGGTGGATGGAGGGAAGACGTTTTCGATCCTGATGTTTCCCACCGGCGGGGCTCGTTGGTTTGAATGGAGCGGCTGTTATCTTCCCCGGATGTAACGGCGGCCGCCTCCTCCTCCCGTGACCTTGTATCTCTCAGATCACCGCGTGGGAGGAGGCGGAGACGGACGAGCCGATGGAGATTGACGAGATCCGAGTGGACCCGTCGCCTTTCCAGCTGGTTGAGAGGACGTCGTTGCACAAGGTTGGCGTTGAAGTCCTGGTTCAACAGCTGATGTTTAGTTACCTGTAAAAACAGGAATCTGAACCAGTGGTTGATGTGTGAGAGACATTTCACCCGAGGGGGCTCTTAATGAATTTAAAGTAATCAGACACTAAGTTACAAACGCCACGTAATTATATTATATGAAAATAGACATTTCTTTAACTCGTTAATTCTTAAATCTGTCGCAATTTGAAATTCACCCCAAATTTTAATATATTGTGATTGTGTATATTGTTCATATTGAGGTGAAGACGAGTTGAAGGACTTCAGTAGCCGTGGTACCACTTTAATGTTTTAGATGATTATGCTTTATGAAACATCAGGTACAACAGGTGCTTTTGATGGTGGTAGTTCAACACTCGTTTGAGGCCTTTTTCTTGCTTGAAATAAAGTCTAAATTGGTGTTAACGTGCCCTGAAACACTGCTTAGATATTATTCACAGTGACGGCACGTTTGAACTCGTTGCAAAGCTACTTCATTTACAAAAGAGAAATATTCTGAGTCAACATAAATAACATTCAAATAAACTGCGGCCCCGTCCCTGAGAGGACTTCCCACATTACGTCATAATCGGCAGGGACCTGCAGCCGCTTCCACTGCTGAGACTAAATCGGTTTTATAAAAGCTAAGGGTCTCGTCCTTGGAGTTCAGCAGGCTCTCTGGCCTTGACAGAAGAGTGTTCTCACTCAGCGGCGTCTTCTCTCTCCGGTACTCGTGGGCGTCGAGCCGGATGATTCCAGATGAACAGTCTATATTTATTTATTTATTTTACCATTGTTTGTGTTAAAGAAACAAAAGGAACAATTCATGACGTTCAACCTCCCTCAGGAGCTGCTGGCCCTGTTCTACTTCCTCCATCTCTGTGGTTTATATATTCTATATGCATGCGTATAAATGATGAACATCTTCCTGCGCTTGGGCCTCGTGTCTGCACGGAGGAGCTCAGAGCCGGCGGACGTGAGGAGGACGTCGTTTGTGATGTGGCGCCTCTGTCTCCACAGACACACACCTTGTTCTCCCTGCTGGGACTCAGTCACGCGTATGTGACCAGTATCGGCAAACTGGTGGGCGTGGTGGCGCTGAAGGAGGTGAGATGCTCTCTGTCTTACTTCTCCTGCTCCTCACTTCTTCTTCTTGTTGCCGTCTGTCCTCCTTTTTCTTACACTCCACCTCTGTCCTTCCTCTTTCCTCCCTACTTGCCCTCCTCGTCCTCTCCCGGCCCCCCTTCAGCTCCAGAAGGCCATCGAGGGCTCCACCCGCTCCGGCGTCCGCCTCCGGCCGCCGCTCGCCAGCTTTCGGGGCGGCAATCGCAAATCTGCCCCCAAACCTCCACCCTCCTCTCCCTCTGCCCCTTCCTCTCCGCCCTCCGCCTCCGCCCCCTCGGCGCCAGCCGCTCCCCAGCTTCCACCCCCCTCGCCCCATCGCCACACCCGCCATCTGCACGAGAATGAGACGGAGGCGTGGATCGAGGGCGTGACCAGGGAGGGGGAGGAGAGCGGCGGCAGCTCCGGGACCCGCAGCTCAGCCAGCCACCTCACCCCACCTCCCTCCCCCACTCCTCCCCCGGCCCCTTCCTCCTCCACCCCTCCTCCTCCTCCGTCCTCCTTCACCCAGAGACCCTTACAGAGACAGCTGGAGGGGGATGAAGAGAGCGATGACGAGCCAATGGTGTAGAGCGATGGTCATGTTTTTTTATAACGGAAAACTTTTTCTAAAGGTGTGAGTTGTGTGTTTTTACCTCTTTTTGATTCAAGGCAAACGGCTCGGCCTCTTCAGCCGGAGGCGCTTTTCTTGCGTGTGTCCTCACCAACCAACCTCCGTGTGTGTGTTTGGAGGAACGCTTCCTCCTCGTTAGGTCTCCGGCTCGCCCGTCCGTTCCGTAGTCACGGTAACCCCAGTCCAAATTTGGCGTCCAGCTTCTATCTCGCCGTTAGAGGTCAAAGGTCATTGTGACCTCCTAAAACAAGTTTTTGTCCTGTAATTCAATAATTGGTTTGCAAATCGTTCCATATATTTCAAATGAATGTATGACAAGTTGTAAAATGATGACATTTTTTATTTTGACATTCAAAGCAGCATAAAAACAATTATACCGATGACATTATTATTGTTAGTGGCAAGATTCGGTTTCGATCGACTGAACACATCTCTACGTCAGCCTGACATATGTTCTATTAACATAATTTGCTGCGTTGAAGCTCTGACCTGATCTTTTATGTCTCTGAATTAAAAGCTATCCGTTCCTTTTCTCTTAAACTGGCCAGCAGACAATCTGGATGGCAGGGGACTGATGGAGCTGCTCAGTCTGCCGTGGAAGATTGTCCAAAGCCCCAAAACGACCTCCAAATGATGTGGCGACCTTGTGAGCGCAGCCTCAGAGCTCATCTCATCACGGTTAAGTTGATAGATGGTGAAGCCCGAGGCTTCGTACGTCCTCGTGACCCCCCCCCCGCTCTCACTCACAAGGTTCCCTCCACATTTTGCAACAGTGTCACGTGACTACTTTAGCTTACTTTTGATCATAATTCTATCATAAAGAATGTTACGCAAAGAAATGACAGCAGATGACAGCTGTCATCCCGTCCCGTCCACATGTGAAACGATGATGAAGACCTATGTTGACAAGGAGATATCTGACAATCAATGCATTAATTGCCCTAATAAATCACCTGATTAGAAGTATGATGGATATGGACTTGTCGTGATGATTATTAAGGCTGCTCATGTGGCACTTCCTCCTCTCAGCGGCCATAAAGTGTTGATTCTTATTCTAGTTCTTAACCAATAGTCTCTCAGTGGAGGTCTGATGGATGGACCCGGTCTGGTCTGAAAATGGTTTGTATCATTTTGTGATAACAAATTATTTCTACGATTACAATTGTGATGAGTGGAAGTGCCCCGCCTTCTTAAACTTAGTTTACGGCCCCATGATACTGCCCCCGACCCCCCCCTCACTGCTGTGAGAGTACCTTAATAATTGCATTCATATGTGTTTCTCATGTATCTCTGCGTTTCTTCTTACACTCTCATCTCCTGGATTCAGTTTCTCAGGTTGCTGCCTTAAAAGCTTTCAAACATTCAGATGTACCAAAAGCCTTTTTCTTTGTGTTGGTGTGATTTCAAATGTGTGTGTTGATTTCTTAAGAGTCTCCGCACTGAAGTGCAAACGTCTATCGTCTCGTCCCTGGTTGGGGTTCATGTATGCAGTTATCTATTGTTTTAGTAGAGTCAAATGTTCTATCAATGTATATAACTTTGAAGTATGTAGCAAAATAAAGTTTTATTTAGTGAATGCTGGGACGGTCCGACTTCATGTGTTCAACTTTTTTAATTATCCAGGTCAGGAGGGTTGTACAGACCGGAGGAACAGAAAGATGATTAAACTGGAACCGGAGCTCACCTCAGACAAAGGTACGCCGCAAATATGGAGTTCCTTTAATGCAGAAAGCTTTCTCATTATCCTCCTACGTGTTCTGCAAAAACAACAATCTTGGATCTTTCTCACATTGTTGATCTGGTGGTCTGTTTGAATTCCTTCCTCAGGTCCTTCAGGTATCATTCCCACCCTCCATCAGGGGTCTGTCTTTGGTCCTCAGTAATTTCCTTTGCGCAGGTTCCCCTCCTATTATCTGTTACTACTGTTATGTTGACGATATCAAGCTGAATGTCTATTTAAAGCCTGATGCTGTTAAGAACTGGATGGTATAATAACTTGACTGAGCACCTTCCTTACACATTATGTACGTGTGTATGATGTCAAAGAACAGAACAGCACAAGGAACAATCTGTTTTCCCAGAATATATATATTTAACACACAAACAAAGCTACATTCATACATACATACAGTCTTACATTCATACAGATACATATCGGTTTATTGGCTTTTTTATTTTATTATAAAAAGCAATTTGATATATTATGACTTTGGATACTGAATTATACTGATGGGCTAGGTCGCTGTTTAAAAGCATGCACTCTCATTTGGTTGTGTTCAGATCAAGTGCTCGCAAATCATCTCATTTGAATCAACTAGGGCTCAGACAAGCTGTCAATCAAAGCAAAAAGTACATTACTGAGCAAATCAAACAAGTAACGTTTATGATCCTGCAGGATGTAACAAGGCCCCTTAATTCCTCTTCTCGTCCCTTCTTCTTTTGTTTTAATGTTGACGATTCCACGCCTTCCGGAGGGGATGGAGGGGGGGGGCTTCTTGGCGTTTTAGTTTGTACGTTACATCCCACGTTTTCCCCTCAAAAAGTCTCCTCTGACTCGAAAGTGGGTGTATAGCCGGGGGGAAGGAAGGGGGGGCAGAATAGCTTGATTAGTATTTATTTCCAGTTTTCTTGTCGGGCCAAATGATCCAGTTCTTCAATGACTGAGGCCTCCTCCGCCCTAGTCGTGGACCAGGCAGGGCGTGACCTTGAAGGGCGTCCTCCCGGCCGCCGGCGAGCCCGGACTGGAGCTTCTGGTCGAGGTCACCTCCTCCCTCAGCGGGGACGGGGCCAAAGAGCAGGGCTCCGGCTCCAGGGTCAGTGTTACCTCGTCCACCTGCGGGGGACACGACGTGACAAATTTAAATGGCAGTTTTTAGGACTCTGGATTAATCAACGGAACTCACCTTCGTCAGCTCCTCCTCTTCCTCTTCGTGCCGATCAGGGGTGTCGTCGAGCTCGAGCTCCGGCTCCTCTCCCAAGGTTTCTACCAGTCCTGCCGCCATGTCAACCACCTGCCCATTCATCTGCCCGACAACGTCCACCTGCACCCAGGAGGGGTTGACTGATTTAATGCCGCCCCAAGACGCAACAGGCCGCTGGCTTCTGAGCACACGTTACGTCACAGACCGACATTAAATCCCTTCAATTTGAACAGTCCCAGAAAGACAGAGAAGCAGAGTATGAGCTCCCATGTCCCAAGGCAGGACATCGGAGAGACAAGACAGACACGGATGCTGAATCCAAATGCTTAGTAAACTTGCAGACTAAACAGCATGCTAACTCTGAAGACCAGGCATTTCTTTTTCAAGGGTGTCCTTTAGTGTTCTCCTCGGGGTCCGCTGGAGGCCGTCATGCAGGCGTCGGGCAGTGCTCCGTGCAGACGTTCCTACCTCGCTCACTTCCCCGGCAGTCTCTCCCATCATGCACTGTGCTAAACACTGCTGCTATGAACAAAGCCAGATCTAGAACAAATTAGCAGAGGAGAGCGTCAGGCACGATGCAGACGGACGGTGCCTGAGAAATGACCTTGCAGGAGTCTAATCCGTAGTTATGTGACGTAGTAATGACTGGATGGAGACGCCTGTCCTGCAACACACTGCACACATTACAGCGCCATCTAGTCTGCATAGTCTAATCCGACCATTTGGATTCAGCGCGCGGGGGGGGAGGGGGGGTGCCTACGTGATGTGCCTCGACCTGCGCCGCTCCCCACAGGTCAGCTAGCCGCGGGTGGGTGGGAGGGCCGAGGCTGTGGATGGTGCTGTTGGGGGTGGCTTGGAGGGAGTGGGAGGCGCTATGTAGCCGGTGCTCCAGAGACTAGTCAGAGACAGGAGAGGAAGAAAAGACAATTAATCAAGTTCTTACTGTGAAATAAGTCGACGTTGGCCCGTCTTTTGATTTGAAATCTTCCGTTTGTCTTTTGGAATGAAGACATTGACATCGCTAGAGATTTGAAAGGCGCGGAAGCCCTGCAGCTCCGAACATTTTCAGCTTCTTCAGAAATAGACATTTCAAACTTTCATCTGGGGGGGTTAATTAGCCTCCATGTGCCAAAACAAATGACAAAGAAGTTCTAATCTTGGATGAGTAGCAGTCTGCGACTCGTCCAGGATACTTCTGCCAATTCTTCACTTTGGTCTAGTCACTAATAACCATCTGTATCTGCTAGTAGCTCCCTTTTAATGATGATTCAGGGACGGTGCTTCAGGGAAATTTTCTCGGGCTCCTATCTTCAGAAAATTGGCCGACTGATACTATATCGCAATATAATCCATTCATTAGTCCTTTTGAGAGGAGAACCTTTAATAAAACATACAGCAAAGCTAACAAGCTCATTTCTATCTTAGATCAGCAGACCTTTTCCAAAACACGGCCCCCAACCTTTTCAAGCTATGATTTCATAACCCTGAGCCACTTAACGAGATGCAGCCGAGCAGAAAAGGTCTCTGGGTGTCACAGTTCATCGTGACTCACCACAAAAAAACAGCCTGGAAGCAGGAAGCCAGACGCTGAGTTACACACACAAAAAAATGAAAAGACACACAGCCGGCTCTGCTGGTAGATCCCCACAAGTCCTCCACGCAGACGTTCAAGGGAAAGCTGATTCTCATTCAGAGGAACAAGCTGTTTCCCCCTAAATAGAACCATTAAAAACCCTCAATCATGCACTAGTTGCATCATCAGTCTATTTTCTGAGACTCTTCCCCTCTGTTCCCCGCAGCAGCGTCTCCAAACTGCTTGATTACAGGAAGGACATTATTAGTGTCTGGAAGGAAGCGGAAAAAAGGCAGAAAAATTCTCCAGCCAAGGCAGCTGAGCGCGGGTGGGGGGGCAGCTCCGTCATTTGTGTTGGCATGGCGATGCTTATCGCCCATCACAGCTCATAGCTGCAGTTATGCAGTGGCTCCTAAACGTTTACACCGTTTTAGTTTAGCATTGAGGCTAATTTTCTGATTGAAGGTCATTAACTGACAATATGTTGCCCAAACGAAAGTTAATGGCATTTGCTGTTGAGGGAGGAAGGTTCAACAAAGTCAAATTAGAGGATATCCTCTGAGGACCATGCATATCTAACTACACTAAATATTCCAAAATGTCAATCCATCTCCAGCCACATTATTTTGAGAGGTATTGTGTTAATGTTAGTGCTGCTGAAGCCGTATGGATGAAGTGCAATATGTCAGCTGCTGGTAGACGAAGTCCTCTCAGAACCACCGACCTGCTGCTGCTGCTGGAACTGAATCAGCTGCTGCTGGTACTGGTGGAGATGTTGGAGCTGGTGGAACTGGCTCTGCTGCTGCAGCGTTAAATGGGGGTGGTGCTGCTGAAGGTAGCCGCCCACCGTCCCCTCAAACACCTCGCCGGGCGTACCCGGCGCCCCGCTGCCACCTGGAACGACCACAACAGAACAAACCACTCAAGGGAAGCGGCCCGAGCGCCGAGAGGAAGCCTCGGAGGGAAGAGGAGCTTCTCACCGGCGGCCATGATGTAGGAGCTGGCGGCGGGCGAGGCAACGCCCGAGCCCACGCCCGAGGGCTGGCTGGTGATGGGGTCCCAGGCGTCAGAGGACGACAGGCAGTACAGGCCCTGCGAGACGTAGGTGTGAGGCCAGACGTCCCCCGAGGAGTGGTGGAGCACCTGGTCTGTGAGGGGGGCGAGAGGTGGATCCCCACAAACAAGAACTTTATGAAGTAACTTAAGGATTTAAGCCACGGTTCTGGATTGAGTTACGAACCCCCACCCTAACCCTAACGAACACATGTGAGGCCTAGTTGGTGACCTGTGAAGAGTTGACCCTGGATACATGAAGTGCTACTGATAAAGCGCAGCCATGCGGGCTCCACACCTACAACATTCCCCCAGCCGGCCATGTGGTGCTGTTAATGACTGTGCCGACCCACGGGGTCGCGACGGCGCTCCGCTCCGCCCGACCAGCCGGCGAGAATCAAAAGCCGCTTCGTTAGCGAGTGAGGGAGTGAAAGCAGAGCAACAGCCAGAGAGCGGTTGGTTTAGTTTCGGTCGGATGAAGTTCCCTGATCTCTTCCCGTCGTCTCTTTGTGCGGCTAAACCGAACCGACGTCTCAACACCTGAGGCTCAAACCCCAATTTAGGATATGAGTGTGTGTGTGCGTTATTCAGCCGAGTGTGAAGCTCAATAACGCCGTTCATTTCCGTTGGAAAACAATTGACGTTTCTCTCCCCTGAGCACTCGCGCCGCTCCGGCCTGCAGTCGACTGGCAGTTGTCTGAATGAGTTTTTTGACTGAGTGCCCGGCGGCGGTGAAAGGCAGGAGTGTGCAGCTGTGCGCCCGTCCTCCAAAAAGTCCTCGGCAGCTGGTTGGCACAATGACCGACTCGGCTGTTTTTTTTTTTGGTCTTCAGCGGGGGGGAGGGGGGGGCTCTTTATTTCCCCCCAAATCCTGCGCATGTCTGCACAACGACAGGCGCCGCATGGCCAGAGGCACCCGGATGCGCTGGGGGCCCAAAGGGCTGAACCGCCGTACCTCTGCTGGTGATGCTCTCCTGGTTGACCTCGCTGAGGTGAGCCACGCTGCCCTGGTTGGATCCGGCCCCCATGCTCTCCCCGTCCATCGAGTTCCACCCCGAACAGAGTGGCCTCGGAGATGGCGAACTGCTGCATGATGCCTGAAGAGGCCGAAGCAACAACGACAAGAGGGGAGACAAACACACACACACGGGTTCATTATCGGCCGAGGAGAACGCAAAGTGTCCGAGCAGCAACGTTGCAGACAAATAAATGCATGCGTACAAACAAGTCACAAATTATTGGTGTAACTCTTCTAGATGGGCCAGAAACACAATTAGATCCTCCCAACTTCAGCTGAGAACACGGCAGAAATGAGTATTCAGGAAAAGAAAAGTACCGTTCTGGAGGGAGAAAAAGAATGTTGTGATTATCCGTTTATGCAAAGCACGAACGCACTGGAACCAGCGACCTCGACTGCCTCTCTGACAGGTTCTACGTAGTGTACTTGTACCTCTGACAGGTTCTACGTAGTGTACTTGTTCCTCTGACAGGTTCTACGTAGTGTACTTGTTCCTCTGACAGGTTCTACGTAGTGTACTTGTTCCTCTGACAGGTTCTACGTTGTGTACTTGTTCCTCTGACAGGTTCTACGTTGTGTACTTGTTCCTCTGACAGGTTCTCTGTGGTGTACTTGTTCCTTTGACAGGTTCTCTGTGGTGTACTTGTTCCTTTGACAGGTTCTCAGTGGTGTACTTGTTCCTCTGACAGGTTCTACGTGGTGTACTTCTGACAGGTTCTACGTGGTGTACTTCTGACAGGTTCTACGTGGTGTACCTCTGACAGGTTCTACGTTGTGTACTTGTTCCTCTGACAGGTTCTCCGTGGTGTACTTCTGACAGGTTCTCCGTGGTGTACTTCTGACAGGTTCTACGTGGTGTACCTCTGACAGGTTCTACGTGGTGTACCTCTGACAGGTTCTACGTGGTGTACCTCTGACAGGTTCTACGTGGTGTACCTCTGACAGGTTCTACGTGGTGTACCTCTGACAGGTTCTACGTGGTGTACCTCTGACAGGTTCTACGTGGTGTACTTCTGACAGGTTCTACGTGGTGTACTCGTTCCTCTGACAGGTTCTCCGTGGTGTACTTCTGACAGGTTCTACGTGGTGTACTCGTTCCTCTGACAGGTTCTCCGTGGTGTACTTCTGACAGGTTCTACGTGGTGTACCTCTGACAGGTTCTACGTGGTGTACTTCTGACAGGTTCTACGTGGTGTACCTCTGACAGGTTCTACGTGGTGTACTTCTGACAGGTTCTACGTGGTGTACTTCTGACAGGTTCTACGTGGTGTACTCGTACCTCTGTGACCTCCGCTCACCTGCAGCAAAACGCGCCTCCTTCTCGCCGTCGCTCAGGTCGCTGTAGGCGTCGTTCTCCATCCTCCTCTCCTTTTCCCGCTGCAGGTTGGTGTGTCCCGCGCTCCCCAGCGGCCCCGCCGTCGGTTTGCCCCAGCTCTGCCACTCGATCATGTGGGCGACGCGGCCCTGGGCCATGGCGGTGGGCTTGGTCACTTTGTCCTTCATGGAGCGGGACACACCTGCAACAGGTATGGGGGCGGAGCACAGGGTCACACACACAATACTGTTAGAACTAATTCTTGCCTTATGGGTTGATGGCTCCTCCATCTGAGATGGGGTGACGGGGTAGAATGACAATGAGAAACTGTCAGGAAACGTATAAATATATGAGCGTGGTCAGTGATGCCGTGATGTCCGGATGGAGCAACCTGGCAGCTAATTTTCATCACAAGGATTTAAGAACTTTGTAGTCTGTACAGATTGTAAAAGTGAACCTCCGCTTATCTATTCTTCATGTTTAATGAGGAACGTTTTTCTGAGGACGGCGTGTCTTTATTTCGGCATCGATGTGCCTCGTTCTCACACCTCTGGCTCGCCTAGCGAGCGCTCTCCAGCTGGACGAGTCGGGGGCTCGAAGCCTCGGAGCCTTGGGAACACAACAGCAGGGGAATAAGTGTCGTCCTCCGTCCTTCTCCTCATAATCTCCTTAATCTGTTTTAAACTCAAATGATGCGTGAGCTCCTGGAACTCATCACATTTGCAGTGAGAATTTAAAATTGGCCACTTGAAGGGATTGAATTTGACAAAGGTGTTAAAGATTCCTTCTTGAATAATCAATTGCGCCACAATGACGGCCAGCGGGTCGGAGGTCAGGTGACTCGAGCTCGCCGCGGGGACAAATTGGGTTGAACGGCGAGGGACGAGGATGACTCGCCGAAGAACCACATTAATTAATGAAAGCCGCGGTAAACAGAATAAATGAGATTCATTAGACTTTCTGTAATTAAAACGTGTTTCAGAGGCTGAGAGTAATCATCGCAAACAGAACCGAGAGCATCGCGTTCCAATTAAGATGCAAATGCTCAATTCCAACCAGCGACGTGCGCTCCGAGTCAAGCGCTCACGGAGAGGCTGATCGATTTTCATTCTATTTCTTTTTTATAAATCAAACGGGGGCGAATCAACAGACGGAGCTTTGGGACTTTGCTCCCTCGGGTCAGAGGTCAACTTCCAGACCGAGAATACAAATAGAAACGTTTCCCCCAAAGAAAAATAGAGCCAAATCAAACACTCATGGAAATGGGAATGAGGATGAGGGACGGTGTGGGGGGGGGGGTGGGGGTCCAGGTCCAGACACACACAAAACCACTAAAACAAAACGTTTTACACCGACACACTTAAACAGCGATAAAAAGCACGCAGCACCACAGTGAACGGAGCAGAGAACCTCCCTGTGCCGCAGCGGCTCATCAAAGTAAGTAATCTCACTTACTTCAGCTTCTTTGAAATCAAAGATCTGATTGGATTTCCTTCAATGACGCTAAAGAAATGTGTCATTGCCGTTGGTGTCAATGGAGAGAAGGGAAAGCAGGAGGTGACAAAGGGAGGGGCACCCACAGGGTGACCATGCTGGTTCCAAGCTCCTCCTCCAGGGAAGTTGTCTGTTGAGGTTGGGGTGTCCACGTCCTTCTTGTTTTTTTTTTATCCCCAAATGTGTCAGTTGTTTGGTTTTATTTTTTATTAATCTACACGCGTTTGAAGGGTCAGTTGTTGGTTGTTGTTGTTGACCATCTGAACAACACCAAAGACCATCTCCCCCCCTCACCCCCCTCACCCCCCTCACCCACCTCACCCACCTCAACCACCACAACTTCACCCCGGATCCTCCGCGGAGCGCCTGGAGGCCACATGGGGGCTGTTTTACCACCTAGCAGCACAGACACACACCTGACACACCTGTCAGAGAGGACTTAGCCAGGGCACCAATCCCATAGGTCTGGGGGGGCTTCCTCTTGAGGCGGGGCAGAATGGAAGAGGTGTCCTCCATGGACGACTAAAGAGAGGGAGGGGTGGTAAGAAAAAGAATGAAAAGAGAAGGGGGTACGTGTGTGTGGAGGGGGTGGGGGGCCGCCTGGTGACAGGAAACAGATGAGACAAAAAGATAAATGCAGGGTGGATGAATGGAATAGAGGAGATGATTGAAGGTAGTTAGAGGAAGATGGAAGAAGAGAAGGGAGGTTGTTAGAGGGAATAAGAGGGGGGGGGTCATTATTCAAACAGGGATCATTGCTTGTAAAGAACAGAATGATACAGTATCTCTATTTGTGACGTGTGTCAGATGCCATGTTCTGAGGTTAAGTGCATCCATTACTGCCTCTGGTGTTTCCTGCGTGTACCAGGAACACACACACACACACACACACACACACACACACACCCTTTCCTAGTTTATTATTTATTCCCCTGAAGCGCCAAGAAAAGTTAATTTGTAAGGAAAACAGGAGTAAGCTGATCACGTAACAACGGGAGGAGTAAGAAAAGGTAAAAGCAAGGACACGAACAGCGACCTCCTGGGTAACAGTCTGTCGGTTTGACCCCCACGTCCTCCTACGCCGTGTCTCTGAGCTCAGCCCCGAACACAGAAGACACATGTATTAGTTTGTTGAGATGAGACTAGAGTGAATATATAAGACTTCTGATCGGTTGGACACAAGCACTCAGGAAAGGTCAGCGAGGTCTTTGTGCACGACGACTCTTCTGCCTGAAAAGAGACGTTTATACGCCGTGGAGCACTGAAACAGTAGAAGCTCCTCTGTGGGGGAAAGGAGCTCGCTGTAGCTCTGTGGGGGGTTTAAGGGGGGCAGGAAGGATAAACCCGTAGGACGCTAGTTGGGGGCACAAGTGCAGGTGTAGCAGAGACGAGAGGGAGGGGCAGATTTGGGACGCTGTGGTTTCAGTTTGGATTTTCGTCTGTCAGCAGTTTTCAGTTATTTGAGTTTAAAATGTCACACATTGTTTTTTTTAAAGGTCACAAAACTTTTTACTGTTAAGGAACTGCTTCATATTCTTGGAGAGAAACAGCCTCACTGTAGATTAAAATAACACACCTTTTATTTTGTATTTCCCTGCCTCCTGTGTTCACATTTAATCCCCAAAAGGCCGAAGCGGTTTTGGACCCGGGAGGTGAGAACACATGAACAAGCTGCTCGTGTGCAGTTCTGTGTGTCACTTTCCCTCTTTGTCCATCCACACTGCCCAGAATGTTTAGGTAACCAACGGATACCGCTCAGCAGCAACCCTGTTGCCAAGGGCAACGGCAAATCTGATGGGTGACCAAACCTGGACACCATTTAGTGTGTATTCTTATACACACACACACAGAGGCCTTCATGCATATTCATCACGCTGTATGATGGCACAAAGGCAGAAGGGAACATTTGGGCTGCAGAGAATTTAAATCTTTTTATTTATTTCTCATCTGTGGACATGGGGCCTCTTGTCCCAAAGACGCTCTCAGCGGCTCGTTATCGTAGTTTTACCGCCGCAGACTGCGTGAGGTGAAATGCCCCAAACAAGGTGTCGAAGTAGAAGACAAACTGGGGCATGAGGGGGGGGGGGGGGGGGCTGAATGCTCTTATAACTGAGAGAAAAAGATGGTACACGGAACCTTTTTAACGCCGCGTAGCATCAGAACATGTAAAGATGCCACAAGCTGAAGGTTTAACGCCGACTCACTGTTGAAATATATTTATGCACATTTCATCCTATTTTAAACGTCCACTTTGTCCGAGTCAGGGACTCAAGAAACACTTTTCTCGTTGATGGATTTATGCGACCATGAAGTCTCGTGTGAAAGTAAACCAAACTAACTTTGAGCAGAGAAGCGACCTCAGCCGACAGTAATGGAAACATTCATAACAGATATATGGAGTCATTGTGATGTTGATGTTTTCAGATGAATTTAACATGAAAATGTTGTGCAGCTGCAATGTTGTTTTTATCCGTTCCCAATAGCTCCTGTAAGAGGACAATACAAATGCTAATACAGAAGCAGTGTGCAGCGGTGAGAAACATCGTGATGGAGCCTCTTCTGTTTATTCATGATTCAATCAGCTGCCGCTGTGCTCTGCGACTCGTAACACCACAATATCTGCATGAGTATCGTTTAAAGGCTGCATTGACCGGATTATATATAGTATAGTTTTTCCTCATTGGAAATTGTTTGCACATTGAAACCGGCTGAAACTGGGAGCTAGAATTCATTGTGACTTCCTGCAGGGAGAGATCTCCTAACGCGACGAGGCCGCCTAAACCGAAGCCCCCAAACGACGCCAGCGAACGTGTTAACGAGCTGCGTGAACCTCTCACAGCAGACGGGCCGACCCGACTAATTGAATAACGGTTTGTTTAATCTCTGAAGCTAATGAACGCTCGTCAGACCGATGTGCGTTTATCTTTTAACGGCCGCGAGAGAGAGAGGCAGATGTGCCCGACAGCAGCGACGCGTCGTTTTGTGCTTCTGAACAACCAACAACCTAATCTCCTACTTCCTGTCACGACACTAGGAAACTACTACTCTAATTAATACCAATTAAAGGTGACGGTTGTAACTCGGGAATTCTGAACAGGAATTTTAACTTGTAATAAAACCTCTGGAGAACGTCAACCTCACAACACCGGCTCTGTCTCTCTGTGTCCCCGGGTTCACAGCTGAGGGCTGATACACGGCTCAGTTATGGTCTGAGCTCCAGGGGAGCGACACCCTCTCAGCCGGCGCACACACACAGGTTTGACTAACCGATATGGACACTAATATTCTTCTTGTCTGGTCAGAAAAGCGTTTATATCACAAACTAGATTCATTCAGCAACAGTTTTAGTCAGTTTGTGTTCCTCGGTTCTGTAAAGCCGTCATACTGAAACACGCAGCACTACTTGAGAACAGAAAGTTTCCCTGTAAATCACCTAAATTCTAAATGTGCTGAAGCACCGAGACAAAACCAACCGGACGCGCAATGCTTTCTGATGAGTGCACACACACACACACACACACACACACACTGATAGTGAATCCTTTCTTCCTGCTCAGAGTTTGGATCCGGCCTTCGTGCAGACTGACGCTTGACTGCAGGAGGCGTTTCCGGGTGAGTAGCGGCGCTTCTTTTTCTCACCTCTTAAGAGATTGAAGGAGCCGAGGGGCGACACCCTCACGCACACTGTGTCCCTTCTGTCCGAACTCTGTACGGATGCACGAGGACACACAACGATTGCCTCAAGAAAAGGAAGAAAGAAAGAGGATAGCGTGTTACCTGATCCCCATCTTTCTGCACCGGCACAGCATCCACCGCTGGAGAGAGAGAGAGAGAGAACAGATTATTCAATGACATCGTTTCTCTATTACAGATGCAACATCTGGGTGCACAATCGCCTTTCTCAGCCATTCTGGGGGGGGGGAACTGACAGCAGTACGTCAAACTGCTGCTGCCTTCGGCGTGCTCGCCGAGGGGAAAAGACAACGCTGTCCACTTCTTCCCTCCTCGCATGCACACACACACACTAAAGAGCGCGCACACACACACACACACAGGCTAAAATTAGATTCATTATCCACTGCGAGCTTTGGCACAAAGGGCACAACCGGTATGAGTCACCAACGGCCAGAGAGGGTTGTGAAATATGCGAGGGCGCGACGAGGAGGGAGAAGCCCTTCTGTCAATCATCCACGGGCCGCTTCACCTCCTCCCGGTGACCTCGAGCGCGACCTTGGCAGTGAGGGAATCCCGTGCAACCTGTAAGCGCACTCGGGCGAATCCCTGCGGCGGACGCGTTGCCACGACGCCGTCTCGTTGTCGGCCAGCGGTCGGTAGTTTTTTTTCCCCCGTTTTCTTTCGTGATAAACGGTTAGTTCATGAATTGCAGAATTGTTTCGCTCTCTGCTGAGATCCCTGCAGCGGACGCAGTCAGGTTCCAGCTCGTCGTTACCAAGCGGCACCCTTGGGTGCTGAGGCGTATGATGTAAATGATACGAAGGGTTCAAAGTTAAGCATAATTAGGGGCGTGGCTAATGACAGGTGACAGGTGGGTCTCAGCTCCATCAACCCTCTGCCCAGAACCTGACGACCTTCACGCGTATTTGATGGAAACGTGCGACAAAGCCCCGCTGACCGAGCAGCCCTCGTACGCTGGACAGACGGGTCGCTCTCCTCAGTCGGGGCGAGATGACGTGTCATCTCCGCTCGGATTCTCCAAGCGAGCAGAAAGGAAGCAGCCAAAGATCACGCAGACCTCCTGAAAAGTGAGTGAAGATCCTGTGTACATGTGACAGATTCATTTTCTTGTCGGGGGGCTTATGTGCTTGAACATCTGCTCACCAGGAGAAGCTTTTAACCCCCCCCCCCCCCCCCTCTCCCCCCCCGGCTGGAGAAAATCAACCTCAGCCTTCACACTCCCTCCAATGGAGACTTATGCTTTCAATCCAAATCAATATCAATAAAACCCCTTTGAGGCCAAGGCGAGGGGGGGGGGGTAGAAGATACAGTTCAGAGATGTTGTTAGAATCTCCAGGGACAACAAATGACAGCTTGGTGCCAAAGTCGCTCCTAGCGATCGATTTGAGGAGAAAAGCTTCATTTCCAAACGCTTTCTATCCATCTGGACCGAAACGACAGGAACAAAAAAACACTAAAATTCTGTAAAATACGGCTTGTGAAAATAAAACAAGATTTAAAGGCCAGCGTGCAGCACAGCATTAGAATATTCACTGTTTTCAATAATAATTGATCAATTAAAGCTGAAGATCTCTTTCTTAGCTTCTAGAGCCCCCCCCCCCTTTATTAATGAAAGGCGTCTCAGTCATGACTCTGCTCTCTGTGAGGACATCTGAGAGGCGACTCGGGGATCCTGGAGCCCATTTACTCCCCACATGGAGGCACAACCAAGTCAAACACACACAAGCACTTCTGGAGTAGATGGAGCCACGGGGGAGGAAGGAGAGGGGGGGGGAGGAAGGAGAGGGGGGGGAGGAAGGAGAGAGGGGGGGTGGCTGTGGGCTCATAGAGGGGGAAATGATGGAGAGGGAAGGAATAAAAGCCAGAGATTGTTCAATACAATAAATACTATGAAATAGACAAATAGATGATTCTTAAAGATCCCAAAACATGTGGAAGAAGCCTGATTGTGAATCTAAAATGCAAACCGTAACATAGTCGTGTATTAATTATAATCTGCAGCATCCCGATGGTTCATGTTAAGCGTTTAGCTCGATAACTGAAAGAGGAGGATGTTTGAATCGAATTGAACTCTGGACCTTTTGCTAAAACGCGCCCACAGCAGCAGCATCTGCTCGCACTAACAAGTGTAACAGCAACTCTCTGATGGACATTTACCCAGAGTTCCCTGCAGCACCTGGAGGTGCACAGGCATTACTGTCACTCAGCATCAGGCGACCTGACGACCATTTGCACTCTGGGAGACTCCGCCTCCTGGAACCGCTTCATGGTCGGCGCTGCTGTCAATCAAACCGCTTCTTCTTCTGTGGTTGACGTTTGACTTTCTGAAGGAGGTCTTTGCTCCTCGTGCCAACGTCGTGTTCACTTGTAGGAGGAGAAGGAAAGTAGGGGGGGCATCGGTGGACTACGATCAATGTTCATACGTGCATACAGGCGCCTCATTTGGGAGGAAAAACCACACAAACTCCTGGCGGGACTCCGATGTGAAGGATGCTCGTTGCCCTCGGCGATGAATACGGATATTTTATTGTGCGTGTCGGACTGTGCGCGCCTCGGTACTTGTGACGCAGCTGACCTTTTGAGGGAAAAGGTCATTACTATTTGTGCCCAACAAAAGAGCACCCGACACACACTCCCTCCCCCCCCTCCCCAGGCTTGAGGATTGCATTACAGAGAGAACATTAATTAATTTACTAAGGAAACAGAATACAAAGTTTCGTTAAAAAAGAGAAAATCCTAAGAAAGGCGTATCTGCAGAACAGAAAGGAGGATGGACATGGACACATATGTGCACCTACGCACGCACACACGCACACGCGCGCAAGTGTCTGAGGAAGAGCGGGATGCTGCAACAATACGTCCTGACATCTCTCTCTGGAAGACCCTCGCCTGTCTGCTGCCATCGCTCCGGGCTGTGTGTGTGTGTGTGTGTGTGTGTGTGTGTGTGTGTGTGACATAGACTCCGGACTTCACTTGGGATCAGACTCACCTCCGCTCGAGCAGCGGACGCTCCGAGGTGGCGGCGAACACGGAGGGAGTCCTGCTCACTGCGGCTCGTCGGGGTAATACCTTCATCCATCCATCCGTCACTCCACGTGTGTGTGTGTGTGTGTCACATATTAAAGGATGTCTCGGGCCACCCCATATTCCCTTGAGCCCCCCCCACCGTGTTCTTTATGTTCTCCTCATAACCTCATCAGCTGAGGTACTGCGGGGGGGTAGTAACACTACTTTAAAACACACAGACATCTGAACTATTTTATAACACTGTAGTATCTGTGACTCTGGCGCCCCCTGTGGACGAAGGGGGGCGGGGCCTCCGCTGAGGGTCTAGCTGTCCCCCCGGAGGTCACAGAGAGGCACCGGCAGTCAGAACCAGTTAAACGTTCCTCGCTGAGATTTGATTCGAGACAAATGGCTCGTTGTCACTCTGGAAACAGTCGGATAACAAACTGTTTTCCTTTTTTCCTCACTCTGCCCTTCAGGTCACAGTTGCTCACGGCCACCTGTCAATCACATTATTGACCGTCGCCTTGCCCCGTACATCCGTCACCCTCAAACTTAATGCTAAAATCACACAATGCCCTCCCCCCCCCCCCCCTCAGCTGCACACCTCACACCTCACACACCGGTCGATAATGTGGATTTGGGGAGGGAGGAGGGCTTTCCTGTGGAAGGTGGTGCCTCAAACACAGGAGAATAACTGAATCCTGTCTGAGCCTGAATAAGTTCAGTCTATATCTGAATATCTGAGTTATGGTGCGGTGACGTCGGTAAGTTATGGAAGCCAGATTACCTGATTTGTAGTAAACGTTACCCACAAGCACACACACACACACACACACAGTAGTTATTACTTAGGATTCGGTTATCTTAAAATGTGAAATAACAATCATATTTCACGGTGGGTCGTTTCTCCATGTTTTGTCAGAAAGTATTAAGTAAATAAGATTCATTAATATTCTAATTCCAACCTGAGAGGAAAAAAAAAAACGGCCGGTGCGGGACGTCTTAGTTGGGCTCGTTTTCTGGAACCGAGTCTGACGTTGGAAATGCGGTGGAATTTAGCTGGCTAGTTAGCTAGCATGCTAACCGCGCCGTGCTTTATTGCCGCAGTGGTTGTGAAATGAAGCGGTGGCCCATCTGGAGGATTAACTTTACCACTAACCAGCCGGCCATTCAGTTTAGGAGCCTTTGGTCAAATTACCGGTTAAACTTATTTCTCTGCCAAAAACAAAGAAATCGTGTTGCATCCCTCAGCTGTTGAGAATTTACACCATTTTCCTCATTCAAATCAACTGAAACCTCCACTTATACAAACGTCACAACTTTTGAGCATTCTGGATCCAAGCTGTTACCCTTTGAGGTCCATTTAGAGAAGAGTGAAATCGCCCGGTGAGGCTCTCCAAGCCGCCTGCCACGTCTCCACCCAGAACCCCCGTCCATGTGGAGAACCTGGAGGAGGCACGTCGTGATGTAAATTTAGAGGGGAAGACGGGAAACTGAGGCACTCGGAAAGAGACGAGCCCGAAGGAAGCATCGCCTCCCTTTTCTATTACCGGCCCGAATCGATCCGTCCCCAAATAGTGGCAGGACTCCGCTCGGAGAGAACCTCACGGGCCGAGCGTCGGAGCGCTTTGTTTACGAAAGGAGACGCCGTCGGCCCGACTGGAAGGAGACTCCAGTCTGACGGCGGAACAACGCGGCCCTCGGCATCGTGAGCAGAGCTTTGATCAGAGCGGATCCCCACGAGGACACTTTTAAAAGAACAATAATCTTTAGTCATTAGCATGTGGCTTGTGGTCGAGCAGCTAACCTTGGTTAGCATTGTTACCACCCAATGAGCATGCCGTGTAATGATCTCGCTCTTAATTAAGGCCTTGGAGGTTAAAACGTGAACTAAATATTCATGATTTCCACTCAAGAAGGAACTAAATCCCCTGACTCGTGTTTTTATTTTCTCCGGAAGGCTTTGGGGTTCCAAACTTTAATCAACAGATGATGAGCGTCCTACGATTGTCACTAATGTCTCACGTCAAATATACGACTTTCATTTCCTATCTCTGCTTTAAAAGTAAAAGTAACGCTTTATAAATCCAAGAATACACATTTATCAGCACAGTCAGATACAGCCGATGAAGAATTCTCTTGAAATGAGCAGAGGGAGCGAGGAAGAAACAGCTGATTCCTAAAACATCATTTGGTGGCGCCTAGAAGTTTTACTGCTGCTTCATTTCAGCACTCTGGAGAGCGCCGCCTCACACACACACACACACACACACACATTAATACACACAACCATTACTCTGACGCCACAATAACTCCTTGTTGTTTTTGCACTTTCTCTCTATAAATAACTATTTAAAGGAATAAGGAGCAATTGTATACAAAATATTCAGCGAGAGGATCCACTTGATCCACTCGATCCTCAATTCAACAATGTAAAACTACTTGCTAAGCCAGCAGTGTGATATGTATGTATGCGTAATGTGATCAGGTGTCCCTTTACTTACTCTTTCTTTACATGTTTGTTTTATATATTCTGTGTGATTTTCATCACATTTCATTTATAGAATATCGATGTCTTAATGCTGACTTTGACTTTTTCTAGATGAGCTCGCAAAGTCCTTTTGTTGTAGAACTCGAGAAGTGTTCAAGTGTTGAATACTGGGAATGAATCTGCTTGTTTGGTCGATCCAACCAACCGTCTGCGTATTTACCCACAGATCACCGGGAGGACGCCGCCGTTCCCTTCATGTGACATTTAAATCGCCGGCACAAAGTCAGGGGTGAGACGGAAACCACAGAAGAAGAAAGCCGGGGTGGGAGTGAGAGGCGGAGCTGTTGACCCATATTTACTGTAACATTTTCCCTCCCGCCGTCTATCATTGACCTCCATCCTTTCTTCCCTTTTTTTCCCCAGACCTATTTTTAGCAGCAGCCGCTCTGCTCGGGCCAAATATGAGAATAGAGGCTCCTGGCGAGCAGCGCGGCAGCAAGTGCTCGTCATGCGGCGAGGGGGCGGAGCCATCCCTGTTTCATTGAACTTTGATGAAAAGGGCTCTTGCACTGCACTCTGATTCTCAAGGTTTCTGAGTTAATGGATCGTAAATCCTCACAAAGAAACTAGTGGAGCTTTTATTCCTTCAACGGAGAGCTACATGGACGACATTTGTTTTATCCATGTCTTGGAGAATAGACATCAAGAGGATTGATGCTAAAACCTGTTGACGTTTAATGACCTTCAAATAACATTCTGACCCAAGCTTTTAGTTTTAATGCCTTTTAGCACGTGTTGGCTCTGGATTGAGTGAAGAACAGAGGTCTCTTTGCCTCTTCTTTCCTTTAAACAAACCAACTTCTCTCCTTCCTCTATAAACATTTGAAAACCGTTTTCTTTCTTAATCGCGTGACTCCTGCGTTGTTCAGATTCACTCTTGTTCTCCTTTGCCTCCTTGTGCTTTAACGCGTAACCACGGCAACGGGAGAAAGTAACGTAACTAAAGTGGACGCTGAACTGAACCTCCTCGGGTCTGAACTAAACCAAAAGCTGTCTTCATGTGGCCGAGCAGCCTGGCGAAGATCAGAAGAGGAGACACAGAACCAAGACACAGAACGCCGGGACAGTTTCCTTGGCTCTTTACGCCACACAATCCTTCCCCGTCCTTATCGGTCCTCATCAGCCCCCTCGGCCCGTCCATCCGTCCACCTCAATGACAATCAAAGGTCAGACGTTTACTCCCTTTGGTTTATCTTCCCCCAGCTGCCTCTATTTGTCCTCATGAAGGAGCTGATGTGGCTCTGAGACGCTGCGCTCTGGTACAGTGGGGACCGGTTTTAGCTTGAGAGTGAGACTTTTTTTTTCTGGTCTGCACGTCTTGTTTAAACTCTTTCTGTGTTGATGTAGGGAGAAAGACATAATTATGGGACGTCTGTCTCTTCCTCAGGCCTCTGGGGCTCAGCGGAGAGCCACAAAGTCGTCTTCTGACCACTTGAAGTGCTTCAAAATCATGACGTCATTCACCCATTCATCAGGACTAACACTATCACAACTTCCCGAGGCCACGAAGGACACGTGGGTCAGATGAGCCGGGGATCGAACCACCGGCTCTAGTCACAATTTAGCGCTGATTTTCCACTAGACTCGTTACTTTATGGTCTGTTTGACTCTAAATGAACACAAATTCACCAAAACAACATCATGATGTGTTGAAAAGACTTGAAACTAGAGACTGAGACCATAAACTCATGTTTACAATGTTTACTGAGGGAATAAATCAAGAGAGAAGTAGAGTCATTGTCTCATAGACGTCTATGGGAGCAGAGGAGTCGCCCCCTGCTGGTCACTACAGAGAAGTAGAGTCATTTCCTCATAGACGTCTATGGGAGCAGAGGAGTCGCCCCCTGCTGGTCACTACACAGAATGCAGCTTTAACACATGAAGCATCGGCTTTTCTCCTCGGACCCGGAGGTCGCCTCCTGCTGTTTAGGCCAAATGTACCGTAAGCAAGTTCATGACCAATGAGCCGAGCTCGTTAACGTTCGCACTGATTCCCACGGGACTTTTCACTGGTTGGTTCTTGTCACCACGCTCAGCGTCCCAGATCGCTAAATGGACCGCATTTATATTTAGTGCTTAAAAAAATAGATTTATCATCTCAATCTCACTCACACCGCGAGGCGCCGGCCACACTGATGGGCCGAGTAGGGGTTCAGGGTCTGCAGAGACACTTATTTGCACACACGCACACACACACACATCGCTGAATAAAATCACTTCTAGTAGTCTAGTAATTGAGTCCATCGATACCTGAAGTTATACTAGTTAACATAGAGGTTTGATGCTGTGCAAAGGAAAGGTACTCGCAAGTATCCTGCGTGTGTGTGTGTGCGTGTGTGTGTGTGCGTGTGTGCGTGTGCGCTGCCGGCGCCGTTGACTTTGCAGACTTGACCTACATGTGCGCAGCCTTCACACTCACACCTGAGTCTACCGGCCGGTTCTGACTCATACTGCACGAGTCACGCCCAGACGCTTTCTGTGCGCGTGCGCGTCTGTGTGCGTGTGTGTGAAACCCGGCGTCTGCTGCCTGCGTCTCCAATTCATTACGTCGCTGCGTGACGCACGGTAGCGCGAGGAAAGAGACGAGGAGAGGTGAGATTGGATAGAGGGGCGAGGGGGGGTTCTCAGACACCCTGCATGCAATGACCTTAGTTTCATGTCGAGGCGGAGGTCTCTCTCGCTCTCGCGCTCTCTCTCGCGCGCGCACACCCACACGCGCTCCGCCTTCCCGGTGTCATCCATGTGGACACGGGGACGTCAAGCCGCATCTCGTCCCGCGAGCCGCCCGCTGCCTGTCTGTCACCCGCCTCTCGGCTCCGACACACGCACACACAGTGAGACGTAATCCCGCTAACAAAGTGCACCGACTCTTCATATATATTTATATATGTATTTATATATTTATATATATCTAATAGAACCCGGCAGAGAAGACGGTCACGTGTGAAGCGCGCGGGGTTCTCCTGAAGAAATGCTCAACCTCAGCCGGCTTCTTCTGACCCTCTTCTCAACATCTCCGCCCCCGCACGCGCATTCCTCGATCTAATCCCCTCCACCCGTCCCTCGCTGCACACATGCATCCACGCGTGCACGTGGCGGACCGGGAGGCGGCGGGTCTCTTACTGATGGTCCGGGATCCGATGCAGCCCATGTTGTCTCACAGAGGCGCGTGCAGCTCGGGGGAAATAAAATCCATCCGTCCAGCGGGCATCTCTCTCTCCTTCTTCTTCTTCTTCTTCTTCTCCTCCTCCTTCTCTCCTCCTCCTCTCCTCCTCCTCCGTGTGTGAGAGGCAGAGAGGGTGTGTGTGTGTTTGTGTCATCAGCGTCGCCTCCTCCCTTTTTCTCTCTCTCTCTCCCTCTCTCTCTGGCGCCCCCCACACCTCCCCCACGCACCTCATTGTCTGCTCACAAACACTTGAAGATACGCTGTAATCCACACTCAATACGATCATGAGTGATTTCAACTTCATTACTTAAATGTAAAATGCTCATTGATGATGTTAACTTGTCCCAAACAATAATGTTAAACAGTACAGACGATGTGTTGTATCAGCTGATAATACGCAATAAATACATAATAATAAATTTATTGCACACGGTTACTTATATTAACTATGAAGTACATTAATACTATAGCTTTTACAAAGTGGCAACAGATGATTTAAAGATCTTTTAACATGGGGGGCTCTGGGGGGGGGGGGGGGACTCCATCAACCGGAAAGCCTCTCGCTCCATAAACACACCGAGCAGGAAGATCTCAGCTCTCCTCAAAGAACGTTCATATTCTGATTAATAACTCATGATCGATTATAAGCATGTCTCTTTTAATTCTCAAAGCCACAACGTGCAAACCTGGCTCATTACAATTGTGTTGATGTAGTTTTCTCGTGTTATTATTCATATTAATGACGTCTGTAAACAGATGGCTGTTTTCACAGATCATCTAAAAAACATCTCACACCACTTTACTAAAGTCAAACGAGTTGTGAGTGAACAGATGAGTCAGCGGAGTGTGAGGCTTCTTGTTGCCACGACGACAAGAAGGCCGCAGCATCACGAGAATTATTTTTTGACAATTTGTGTGTTTTGTTTGGTGACTTTGTTTTCTCTCTTTTGTAACCTCTTGTTTGTTTACTACTTGTTTGTTTACTACCTGTTCGTTTACAACAAATTTGTTTATTAGGGTCCTCGCAACGACTAGTCGTAGAGGAACCTATTGTATTTCATGGAATTATTATTATTATTATCACAAAGTAAGGGCCTTTTTGGGGGCTTTATCGTATTCAAAAAGTTGTTAAATTTGGCATCCATATCTGGAATGTTCAAAAATTTGATAATCTCGTAGTCACGTATTTGGATACAAAGAAATGTGTCCATAGCGCCCCCAAGAAATTTGAAAAGTACCCCATTAGGCCAGTTTTTCCCCCGATCGAGTCCGATCGACTTGAAATTTGGCACACATGTGCTCTTGGACATGCTCTACAAAAAAGTCAATCATGGTATGCAAATGCGCCTAACTAGATTTTCCACCATTTTGAATTTTGTGAAAAACACGTTTTTGGCCATTTCTCCTAAACGCTATGTCCGATTGTCACGAAGAATATTTGAAGAATAGAGGGCGCTGCAATTGATCGTTGAAAATCTGCCTTTTTGGCCTATTTTTGTGATTTCCTAGAGCTGTAAAAGACCGAACTCCTCCCAGGGATTTAACCCAATTCTTTTCAAATTCGCGCAGTGTGATCTTGAGGACCTAGGCTCTAAAAATTGTATTTTGCCGGAAGAAATTCCAAACTATGTGTGTAGGGAGCATTTTTGAAAAACCACCATTTGGCATGAAAATTGAAGTTGTTTTAACTCTACCATACTTTATATAATCTGCTCTATATTTCTCATATAGCATTTCTTCTATGCTCTCATTACTTCTCACCCTGTAAACATCCATGAGATCATTTTTAACATTAGTCATAGCGCCACCTGGGGGAAACAGGAAGTTGAATGTTGTTGTTTTTTACACCCTGCTCCTCACAGGTTATGCTCCTCAAAGGTTCATTTGATCCCTCTCAAAATTTCCTAGCAGAGAGGTAAGACCTTAATAATGCTTCAGTGTGAAAATGATAAGAATCCGATAATTGGTCGCGAGAGGGTGCATCGGCAAAGCTGATCCTTCGCCAAGAACAACTAAACCGTTGTAACTCTACTGGATATCATCGGATTCTTTCTAATTTATATATGTTTGATGAGAATCTGGGCCTCAAGAGACGTAAAGTTGAATCAAGCCATGGCGCCATCTACTGGTAACCAGAAGTTACATTTTCTAGGATCCAGTAAAAAACGAAGGTGGTATTTAGAGAGGCCTTTATTTTGAAATAGTACATCATAATGTCCTGGTTATTGCTGAATAACATCTTGGGAATGTGTACTATCCGTCTAAAGTGAAAGGGTCATGTAACTATTGATAGTTCCCTTTTCCAATGTAATTCGAAACTGACCGGATGTTCTTGTAATTGATATTTTGGCTCATGTATGGTATTTTGAGAGGCCTTCATTTTGAAATAGTACATCATAATGTCCTGGTTATCCCTGGGTGACACCTTGGGGATGTGTACTATCCGTCTGAAGTGAAATGATCATGTAACTATTTATAATTTACTTTTAATTCTAACCTGAAATTGACCAAAAGTACTCTCGTGATGGAGAATTTTAAGGAAATTGGCTCATGTATGGTATTTTGAGAGGCTTTTATTTTGGAATAGTACATCAGAATGTCCTGCTTATCTCTGGATGACACCTTGGGGATGTGTACTATGACCCTGAAGTGGAATTATCATGTAGCTATTGGTCGTTTCCTTTTTAAATACCATCTGAAATTGATTATAAGGCTGGTGAATAACATTTAGGAGAAGGTTTGGTGATCTGTGACATTTCATTACATTACATTACATTACATGTCATTTAGCTGACGCTTTTATACAAAGCGACGTACAATAAGTGCATTCAACCATAGGGTACAAACTCAGGAGAACAAGAAACAAGAAAGTGCAATTTCCTCAAATAAGCGAATTTACAATTTGCTATAGATGAGTGACGTCACAAGTACAATTTAAGTGCTACAATTTGTTAGTCTTTAGTCGAGGTAGAGTCTGAAGAGGTGTGTCTTTAGTTTGCGGCGGAAGATGTGAAGGCTCTCTGCGGTCCTGATGTCTTCAGAGAGCGCGTTCCACCATTTCGGCGCAAGGACAGCGAAGAGTCGAGACCTAGTCGAGTGTTTGCTCTCAGTGAGTGAGGGACGAGTAGTTTGCAGATGCAGAGCGGAGAGAGCGGGTTGGGATGTAGGGTTAGACCATGACCTTGGATGTAGCTGGACACGATCTCTTCACACCATGTTACGTGAGCACCAGTGTCTGGAATTGGATGCGGGCGGGCACCGGTAGCCAGTGAAGAGAGCGGAGGAGTGGAGTAGGGGGGGAGAATTTGGGAGG